TGTGTACTGGTGCATATAACACTTTATTTCTACACAATAAGTTAGCCAGATCTTTTGAAACGAGTTGAAAGCCAGTTCCTTCCTGAGTCGGAGTATTGCCGGAAGTTACTGATCATGTGACAAAAGAATGGTGAATTAAATGTGTGACGATGTAAATGTCAATTGACAGCGCCGTCTCTACATCACATGCTACCAGTATAGTGTTATCAACATGGCTATCACCATTGTAGGATTGCTCCATATGATCGTTTCTGTTAAAGGCATCCTTAGAAATCATTAATATCAATGGAAATGAAGACATCAAATTCACTGGCACAAAACTGCCTCCATTAATGACTGAAGCTAATGCTTGGCTACAATAGTACGAGGTGGTTGGAGACAAGCCTTCAAGCATAAAAATATTGTTCGCAGTCAGTACCCGCCTACAATCACAGGCATATTGTTTACTGGAAAGTATCTCTCTTCCAGTATGACCGGACGGTTCAGGGGTTTTACGGCCAACAGAAAATAGTTCATTTATCTCTCACCACTTAGACGTAAACAACGCAGTTGAAACAAACAAATTGTACAAATGCCACCCAGTGCTTTAGAAGAACCAAAACGCAACATAGTAACGAGTTTATAAAGAATATGTGGTGGTGGTGGTGTAATTGGGTTTAACGTCGTGCTTGAGAATATATCGCTCATATGATGACGTGCATACGTGTGTATGTGTATGTGCGGCTGCTTGTACTAGTCCAGACTGAAGCTAGTTTTATAGTGCTAGCCCACTGAGATACCATACCGCAGTGAAGCATGAATACCCCACTCAGACACATTATACTGACTCCGAGCCGACCAGTCCTTGTTGTAGCCATTAATGCCGAGCGCCAGGCAGGGACCAACAAGTGCCATATTTTAACGTCTTTTGGTATGACGCGGTCGGGGATCGAACCCGCGACCTTCCGCACTCCGGGCGGACGCTCTAACCACTACACCACGGAGGCGGTCCTAAAGAATATGTAATAATTTAATCCTATTCAGTCCATGTTTTCGTACGTACGAACACAAGCAGGCAAGTACTATCATCATATTAGTGTAGTTTTCCAGGCAACTTGAAGGTTTTTAATCGGTATACGATGACGTCACTTACGGACATATACATATACACTAAACGCCAAAAGAAACGTTACTCTCCTTCCTTAATGGCGGACGTACCTATCTTCAGCTGGCGTTGTGGTGCCTTGACGTCCACTCCTTGGTCTGTCTGCGGTGCCCCCAGTCTGTCCGTAGCGCTGAATATGGCTTATAACCGCGATACAGTGGCAGGAGGGCGTTGGCAACAGTATTGTACGTCGGGGGCATGGGGGTTAGTCGGTTGGATTAGGTGATTGGGACGATTAGGGTTCGAAATGAGGGTAGGTACCGGTATTCAAACACACATGGAAGAGCGATGTTATGCCCTAAAAGCATTTCGTCCACCATTCGGTTAAGGTTTTATATCAAGATTGTAGTTTATACAATTTCAGTGGAATGCTTTTTAACAAACTTAAATTCTGCAATAAACTAACTAAATGTGACTTGTTGGTAAATAAATGTTTTCATGCGTGTAAACGGCGGGCTTACAGAGACTGTGCTGAGATCAATGTTGCTTCCCTATGTGTGACGAGATGCCGCAAGGATGGTAGCCCCAGACACCCTTCTTCTCTCCAACCTTTGTCGTTAGCTCGCACTGTCGTGTTAACACCAACAGTGAGATGTGTGACTACCCAAGCAGTTAATACTGGCTAATTTACTTTGAAAATAGTTATCTCACTCTTTCAATCTGATAATTCCCTGTCATTCAATCAGCATCGACATCGAGTGTTCTAATGGAGCCACTAAAAGCTAAACTTGATAAAACGATTTGCACAAAGCTGATTTTCAGATGAAGTTGCAGACGACCTATAACCGCCATATTTTCCCTCCAGAAAATCATGGGTGCTAGCACACATTCATTTCCCATTACACACAAGTCTACAGGGACACTTACTACTGGTTTCACCACGAAAGATCACATTTACAATCAAACCATGAAGCCATTATGCAAGTCAATTAACAAATCAATAATTACGACACAAGTTTTGTGAAGACAGGGCTGATTGTACGTCGTCCACGAAAGGGGCTGGCGACTGGGATCCCGTCCGAGTGATCAATGCATTGTAATGTCTAATCGCTTCCCGTTGATTGCAGCTTGTATCAATATGAATAACTCTGTCATCAATAGAGCAATTTCAATATGTGTATTGAACCAGTAACTGATTACAAGATATTTCCATTTGGTTATATCGCTAGACCTTCATTGTAATTGCAGAATTACCCTGTTTTCATCCCGCGGGAGCTTAAGCAAGCAGAAAACCGTTTCAGTTTGTTTATTAATCATCTAGTAGGGAAGTAGGTAGAATGTGAGTTTTAGCTGCTTCAGCAGACGATTACTGTTGTTACGGCCATCTGAATGGATGGCCATTGCTCTAAAAGTGCTATAGAAGGCTACAACAAAGCCGTAATCACATTGACCTATGTTTCCCATTGCGAGCACACATGGCGGCATACACACACAGACTGGTATTAACCCGATGCCGCTCATCTAGTAGATTCCCTTTTTCCATAGGTCTGAAAGTATGCACGTCTATCTAAGTCAGTCTGTTACTTGACCAATGGCAGTTCCTACAACAGTAAATCACTGTTTGTGCGCAGTAAATGTCATCATATCATTTACATAAACCAGACAAGCAAATACGCCCCAACACTACCCAACACCTCACCATGACAAACCCACTCAGTATGACACAGACTGACACACCCATTCAGTATGACATACACTGACACACCCATTCAGTATGACACAGACTTACACACCTCAACATGACACAAACTGACACACCATTCAGTATGACACAGACTGACACACCCATTCAGTATGACACAGGCTGACACACCCATTCAGTATGACACAGACTGACACACCCATTCAGTATGACACAGACTGACACACCCATTCAGTATGACACAGACTGACACACCTCAACATGACACAGACTGACACATCCATTCAGTATGACACAGACTGACACACCCATTCAGTATGACACAGACTGACACACCCATTCAGTATGACACAGGCTGACACATCCATTCAGTATGACACAGACTGACACACCCATTCAGTATGACACAAACTGACACATCCATTCAGTATGACACAGACTGACACACACCTCAACATGACACGGTCACTTCAACATGACACATACAAGCGCGCGCACGCACGCACACACGCACACACACCTCAATAATTGAACAAAATAGTTGATTGCATGCTGGTTCATCACGCCCGGGATCTGAGTCCGATGCCCCACATAGGTACAGGGTATGAAGCCCAGACTTTGCTAAGACTCATGTCGCGATTAGACTGGAATATTGCTTAAAGGCGTAAACCAAAATCACTAACCCTTGCGATTTAGTCGGGTTTATGTTGTGATGGGAAAATAATTCTTGTAACGAAGGAGTTCGAATCTGCATTCTCCCTTGATCACGAGAAATGTGTTGATGTATTTTACGTGTTTTCGATTTGTCCAAGACAGGCATATGGACACAGTAGGACACTGTGTGGACGTGTCAGTACAGGGTGTACATCTCCCCCTCGTGGCTGGTGTCCAAGTATCATGGACACAGTAGGACACTGTGTGGACGTTCACGTGTAGGCGTGTCAGTACAGGGTGTACATCTCCCCCTCATGGCTGGTGTCCAAGTATCATGGACACAGTAGGACACTGTATGGAGGTTCACGTGTAGGCGTGTCAGTACAGGGTGTACATCTCCCCCTCATGGCTGGTGTCCAAGTATCATGGACACCGTAGGACACTGGGTGGACGTTCACGTGTAGGCGTGTCAGTACAGAGTGTACATCTCCCCCTCATGGCTAGTGTCCAAGTATCTTGGACACAGTAGGACACTGTGTGGACGTGTCAGTACAGAGTGTACATCTCCCCCTCATGGCTGGCGTCCAAGTATCTTGGACACAGTAGGACACTGTGTGGACGTTCACGTGTAGGCGTGTCAGTACAGGGTGTACATCTCCCCCTCATGGCTGGTGTCCAAGTATCATGGACACAGTAGGACACTGTATGGAGGTTCACGTGTAGGCGTGTCAGTACAGGGTGTACATCTCCCCCTCATGGCTGGTGTCCAAGTATCATGGACACAGTAGGACACTGTGTGGACGTTCACGTGTAGGCGTGTCAGTACAGGGTGTACATCTCCCCATCATGGCTGGTGTCCAAGTATCATGGACACAGTAGGACACTGTATGGAGGTTCACGTGTAGGCGTGTCAGTACAGGGTGTACATCTCCCCCTCATGGCTGGTGTCCAAGTATCATGGACACAGTAGGACACTGTGTGGACGTTCACGTGTAGGCGTGTCAGTACAGGGTGTAGATATGGTTGGCATTACGGGTTTAAGATATGTAAACTCACGTTGTACGGATAATCCTCATGATCTGGCATTACTCAACACAAACACAAAGCTTTTGATCTGACATACGACACAATAAAGGGCTAATGATATAGCTTGTTACTGGATAGAGAGAACATGTATCAACCGGTTAGCGATAGACTTCATTTAAGGCAATGGTTCTGCCTTACATGTATAAGTAAATACACTAATACCATAGCTTATACAACAACATTTTGTTAGATCATTTTTCCTATTTGATATCAAATTCCAGTGTGTTATGTTTCCCTTCCTGTAAGATAACTTGTTACATATATTCAAGGAAGAGTTCTTGATTGAAACCAAAGTAACAAACACACACGAATGCAGGACATTATCTGTGTGAAATCATTTGTCGCGGTACACGGGTATAATATCTATCACTGAATAAACGGCGCACTATTATGTGTCGACATGAGCAGTCGATGCAAGGGTATCGATGAGAAGAACCCAATAACGCTGCGATGAAGAAGTACCCTGTTACGTACCTGCTGGGTCAATGCTGTTCCCTATGCTGATTACAAATAGTATCAACCGTAAATCCATATCGCGAACACCAGTGGGTTTCACCTGTCCTTCTTTTAAACCTTGCGTCTCTCCGGCAAAACTTTATGAGTTGAAGTCACAGCCACAGCGACACGGCTGTGCGGTATGGTCACGTGATTACGCGGCTCTGTCCATTGATGCTTTGTGTATTAGGAAAAAGGCAGGCCTATCGGCTCACTCAGCTCTGACTGTATATATCGGCTCAGGATTAGAAGCAAAGGCTGTATAGACCGGCTATATCTAGATTAAGGGACATGGTGGAAAAGAAGGATTAACGGAATATAGCCACATGTGTTGGGGCGTGGGGAGTCTAAGACAAGGAATTGTAAATTATATGCGCAAAATGACCACACCTGACTTTATTTTGTATACGGGACTGTCAGTTGAGACATGTCGTTAAACAGACAGTCTGTCTTACAAACTACAGACTGTGTAGGCGCCGACTCTGACACCTGTGTATACCTGATGCATAATATATTGACGCTGTGTGTGGTTCCCGATAACACTGGGTGTTGATAGGGCCGAGTTTTGAGGAGAAGAAGTAACGTATCCCAGCACAACGAATTAGTACAGCCGTTCCACCCAGCACGACACCAACTTGGTCTACAAGCCTCGAGTTAACAGTACTGCCACATATGTTATCACTGACGTCCATATAGTCATGTGTATGGTTGTCATTCACACACTTAATTGTACCTATACAACTTGTATGTGAGAAATGGTGAAAGTATTAATACACATGAATGTCAGCATGAATCATCTATATAACTAACTTGATCTTTGGCATAATAATTAAGCAGCATGTGAACATTTAAATCAGCAAGTCAGAATTCCGCGACTGGTATCACTGTAATCAGTGTAGTTTTTCGTCATTATTGACGAATTGGGAATATATAAGGAGTTTCTTTACCATTATCGACACTATGTACCATGTTCAACTCTTCAGAAACAAATCTGAAGAGCCAGCCCTACATGCAAAGAACTCTTTAATCAATATGTTGCAAGGAACAGAGCCTACTGCCAGTACTGGATTTCTAGCTGCAAGTGAGTGTATTGTACGAAAATATAAACTTGACTGAATGGTGGTTGTATTCGAAAAACGTTGTGACGAGATTTGGTATAAGTAAAACATATAGTATTGTTTTATACACGTGTATATTTCTGTCTGCTACGTTATACATTTTAACATTGAACACTTGGTTTGTAAACACTCTTCGTTTAATACACAGGGGAGTCTATACATATCATTTAGATATCGACATCCTATTCTTGTATATGGCGCAGAGGTGATTTGTTAAACAGAATACACAGCTATTGAACAGGTTCGTGTATTCGATTGTAAACCCATTCCTTGGAGTAAAACATTGTACATGGAGTATTGTGGTATATGGTGAGTGTAGACGTGTAGACATGTGTCATATTTCAGTAACTACGACTTCTTCAGTACCTGTTCAGGTTTCTTAAAATGTCTGTTAATAGATTACCAAGTAAATGCTTTAACAAGATGTTATTGTACCAAAATGATTCCACGATTGCATTGTGGGAATGGAAACATTGCGAACGTTACGGTGTCGCTGAAAACTTGTGAGTCGAATTGACACATTTTAACCGTCGTAAAACATATACGTAATGTTTCCACCAGTGATGTTAGCTGCCTAAAGCAACTGAAAACCAAGAAACGGGATGCAACGGAGTAGTTTACTGTAGGAGGCCGTACGACGCGATGACAACTGACATGCATCATGACGTCGCTTACATTGTGACGTAATGTAAAATGGTTCGATTACGAGGGGGCACACTAGAATGGCGCAGTGACGGGATAACGTCATTCAATTGTTACGTCATCAAAAAACTATACCTTCATTGTCTGATAATGGGTTGTTGTTTTTATTGTTCTAACCGCTAGGCATCTTAGAATAATTTATGTTGGTGAGTAATAAACAGAATACTAAACTCGCTTCCGTGAAATACCATTTTTATTAAACTCGTGAAAGATTTAGTCTCAAACTCGCTTTCGCTTGTTTGATACCAAATCATTAACTCGTTTAATAAAAATGGTATTACAAGGAAGGTCGTTTATGCATTAAATGAATGCTGTTTTAACAAAATCAGTGTGTACCGAACAATCCAGAATTGTTGTAATTATTTAAGTTCAGAAAAATGAATTTATGGCAAGTTTTTTTAAACACACGTTTCCTCAGAATACAATTTGTTTGATATCAACTATATAAGATTCAGAATAGCTCAATTTAGTACAAATTACCTGCAGCTATCGTATGGCAGACGTTGGCAGACATAGAAATGCTTTGTATATATATATATATATTCATTCCCAGTATGAATATATATATATATATATATATATATATATATATATATACATTCCCAGTATTTCCGGATATTATTGAGAACATCTTTGTTTCCTAATACTGATAACAGAATTTTAAAATAGGTGTTACATTAGGTAGGTACTCAATATGGGAGGCAACTCTTGTAGGCTTAAGAATGAACCTTACTACATCAAGATTTATCTCCCTTGTGTGGCAGACGGCTTCCTTTGTTGACATGGCAGATTTGACAGCAGAAGAGAAAAGAAAGCTTGTTCTGGGAATATCCTTTTGACCTGTGGCGCCAAACGACTTTTAATTGGTAGCGTTAGGGAAGATACAACTGCGCATGCTTATCATGACGTCACTTTGTTAGAACATCAGCTGATCTAACCCGAACACACGCTGTCCGAATAGATATCAAATCAAACCTTATAGAACAGATAAAGTCCTGACGTGTTCATTTCATCAAATGTAAAGGAACACTATGCGTTTTGAGAGTCTACTTTAGAATTTGCTTACTGAGTTATTTATCAATGGTAAACCAAATATAACCAGATTTTACCCAGTTGCTTAGAATATTTGGAGGAAACATTTTCCGCTTGCAAAATACAAGTATTCTCCCATGGGAAGAATGTTAAATACAGAAATGTTTAACAATGTCTTTAAAACCTTTAAATGTCCGATTCTGTAATGTTCAGCATTGTCTTAAAATATCTTAACAGGTTAATAATTATGATTTATGAAACCACGGTGTTCTAATCACTCATTGTGTTCTGAAATTAGAACACATACCTCACAGACTTTGAACACATGTGTTCTAAAACAGAACACGACTGTTATATGTTCTAAATATGGCATATGTGTTCCAATTCAGAACATGCACGGACGCGTCCACTGTTCTGCTTGAACATTTATGGTTTAGAGTGTATATGTATCCACCAACAAAAAAGACAAACACTATCCCATTAGTCGGAATAGTCACTTCTTCTGAGTTCGTCGACCGTGAGGTGCACGTGTCAGCAGGATTGACTATCATCGAAAAAGTCAGAAAATAAAACGGAGCATGCTATTCATTTTTTATCAAGTCCACCAAGGAGGTATAAAATCCCACCTACGATGCTGGGAAAGGTGCATTAATGTTGAAAGGGATTTACACCATGACCTTCGCAATCGGGGTGCGGTGACATGACCCCAACACGTCAGCGCGTCCGACTACCCGATGCCGCTGTTGCCTCTTCCGGAAGGAGAGAGTTGTTCAAGACTATTCCACCCCGGTCCTTCACAGTGCTCCAGTGTCTTGACAAACACCAATACAAATTATTTTACGACTAAGAGCAAGGCTTTTTGTAGTTCTATGTTGGGCTCAGAACTTATCAGTCAATTGTTATATGTCTATGCCGGAGATAAGCAGGAGCAGTAATGCCATTGATTCTTTTATTTAAGTCATGAAGCTCAGTCATCAGCTAATATCTGAGAACATGTATGTGTCTACGAACTGGCTATGCAATGGAAGAACCTGAATATGTCCAGTTTATTTGCTGGACTAATAAACTGGTGTTATGTGCTTCACGCTTCACTTATTACCAGTAAACAAGCATGCTGTTGTCGGGGAGGACATACATACACAATGACAAATGCTATCATTGACAATATCCTTTTCAGAACACCGATAGGGGGCGAGTCACACCTTGACGAACACTAACACAGATTATTCCACGACACGGAGCAAGGTTTTATTAGGTTCTCTTTGTGGAAGTCATTTAACACCTATTGTTGCACGTGCGTTGTTCAACAAGAATGATGCTTTTGTACATGTGAACGCAAATAACTTCAATATTTCTATTCAACAAATTAATACACAATCAACCATAGTCAGTAGGTACGAGTCAACACGAAAATCAACATCACAAGATATGTATATACGTCATAGTTTTAATTTATGTATTGCATAAATGCCGCTTATCTGGTTCCTAACACTTGGTAATCTCACAACTCACTAGATCACCAACTTCACCCATATTATCATACCATGAAAATTACACCGATACAACAACCAGTCATGTACACTTTTGTCTAAGAAATTGGTCATTAATTTGTTCAATGTGGACATTTAGATATAATCTACGTATTTCATTCTTGGCATGTTCCGTCGAGAAACTGATAATATGTCTGAACCGAACACATATGGACCGCGTGAAAATTGGCAAGCAACCAACAGGAAGCAACGTGCCCAAGCGCAGACTGCTGCTTGTCGTGGTTCATGGCGAAAGGGGCCGAGTAGTCGCGAATACGGGCGATCAACATGAACAAGCTGAAGACAAATCCCGTTACTCCTGGCAACAGTGTATACAACATGGCGGATTGTATCGAAGGTGCAACGCAGTAGAAACGTACACAATGAACACACCAGACATGGTGTGATGGTCTTTGTCATGTCTAGTTTACGTACGAGTGTGAGTGTAGCCTAGTACACAATAACACAGAGCATTTGCTAGACTAGCCCCTTGGAATGTAAGTTCACTTTTGATGACAAATAGCATCATTCGAAACACTGTAAACATTTGTTTTAAAATGGATTTCACACATTGTTACATTGAGTGTTGATCGTCTGTTCAATCGAGCTGTCTTTGCTTGATACGCACAATAACATCCCATGACCCCCTTTATATATTTGCTTATCATTCCCACACATGTTCACAGGTTTTCAACAGGAGATACTGGCAAAGATCCTTCCCTGATTTAATGTCAATGGTACATCCCAGTTGACAGTATTTACACTGGGACATTGACACGCTTTCAATGTCCATAATATATACATTAACACACATTCAATGTCCATAATATATACACCAGTATAGCTGTGATAAAGGTGGTAGACAGGTCCCCTGACACTTATTTAACTCCAAGATGAAAGGCAGCACTTATTTGGACTATGATCTCAGATGGTTTCACCGAATTATTCTTAGTCTGTAAATTTATTCAATATCTGCAGACAAATGTTTCTCTTGTATTTTGTTATCTACCGATGGTGTCCTTCATCTCAGCGCACAGTTAGCTTCGAAGCAAACTCAAGCGATCTTTAGTTGCTATGGCAACATATTTTATACAACAATAGCCAGATAAATGTTTTCTTTTCATTTCTCAACACCATCAACTGTTTGACAGTTAAGATAAGGATGAGATAAGAGTGCTATGAAATCTGGCCACACTGACAAAGTTTTAGAATTTCATCTTATTTCATTAAAAATGAAGTGAGGTAGGGGGCATCTTATTTACATATGATATTGTCTGTTAAACAAATTGTTGACTGTATCCTCTCATAACATTATTGATGGATAGTAGTCTGTTACAGAATGAATGGATGACATAATTTTCTTGTATGCACTTTGGAAAGTTCAATGGTTTTAGGTGGAGTGCAGCTCATTAGAAGGGAGATGAAAATCTTATAGTTATTTTATGATAGTCTTAACAAAGTTATTGCAAATATAATCATTAAGAACTGAAATATAAAAATATAGGCTAAAAAACATCCCTGAAATATTATTTTCTGAAAATGTTACATCTATAATATTCATGTTGACACTTGCTCCTTCTTAGTGTACATACAGTAAGATGGAAAGAGAAAGTATCAGTGCATGTCTATCACAGTGGCAATAATTTCATTCTTTGATTATGGTGTGTAAAAAATTATGGGTTTTCACATGTGTTAGTGATTTTTCCTGAAATGACATGGTTTGATATAACATACAGTTTCTTACAATCAATAGCCAAATTCTGCTTGTCAATGTGGAAGTGTTACAGTTTTTCTTAGTGGTAACTTGAACAATCTGTAGGAATGTTTGACTCGGAAACCACAATGGCGTAAGATCATTTATGTCACTTTGATTTTTCTAAAATTTAAATAATATTCTTAAGTTTATCTACTAGGATATGTTGCACTACAACAGATCGTTGAATTTTGCCGAATAATAATGAGAATATTTATAACGTGCCTTTTCCAGGCTAGATATCCTGCTCAAAGTGCATAATCTGATCATTATTACCCCGGATAACCCAACTTGCATGTTAGGCGCGCTAGAAGGTTAATAGTCTCATGACTTATTTCACCGGGTACCCATTTTCTGCTGGGTGAACAGAGGCAACTTTGAACAAATTCACTTGCCTAGGGTGAGACCACATGTATCACATGTGCTTCGTTGTGGGGCAGGACTAGAAACTCTCAAGAGTCATCAGTCAAACACGGTCACCCATCCAAGGACTCTCTGTGCCCAATTTTGCTTAACTTCAACTGATTCTGACCTGAGCTGAGCTCACAGGACCACACGCTACAGAATGAAAGTTTCTTGTAAAAATCAAAAGATTTGTAAAGCTCACCTTGAAAGTTTAGTGAGCTTATGTTACATGACCTACAACCACATTTCCTGTAATAAGTGCCCAGGTGCTTATTTTTCAACAGAATTCCAGAACTGGCGCTTATTAGAGGCCCGGCCCTTTTGCTCTTACTGGTTGTAATTACCATAATTGTTAGTGAGCTGCTTTACCCCCGGCGCATATTAGAGACCCAGCCCTTATTAGAGGAATTACAGTATTTGGTAACAGCAGCATTGTTGGTATTGCCGGCATCTGTACATATCATCTCCTGGATCAATGACGTTGAAAATTTGTGTACTTGCAATTGTTCTGTCCCGTGATTAAACCTGAACATGGCCAAGACTCTAGGTATGTGCTGTTAATGTACCAGACGTCTAAGCACCATACCCTTGATCTTCATGTACTGTGCATGTGGATTTCTATCATACATTTGACTTGTCAACAAAACTGACAGATCAACTTTTTAAAAAGTATACTGTGAAAAAAACCCAATTATGTGAAGATTCGTGTGTTATCAATACTGTGTAAAGGCAATGAAAACGAAACAACATATTATTTTTGTTCAAAATGTACAATTTGGTGCACTTGTAATAGACATGGGTTTCAACATAAAGGTGTGGTTTGTTTTTTTGCAATAATTTAAATTTTGATTGTACATTTACCTTTGCACTTTGTTCCATGCCCTTACATTTTCTGAAATGCATTTCCTCACACTGTACATAGCCTGAGAACCAACTATGGTGAACTGCTTGTATCTGCTAGTGATGACTTCTCAATCAAGAGGTATGAGACTTTACCAAGAGATCAGCAGCTTTATCCACGTTCTCAGCCTCACATAGAAGGAAGTCCATACTATGCATTTTGTCAAAGATCCACACTTGAGTCAATCAACCAAAATGTTTAGATCGTTGAGGTGGTTCTTATGATAAACATGAGGTACTTAAGGTAGAATTCCCGCACCGTTAATCTCATCACTGACTACGTACCGTGGTGTTATCAATGTGACTGTTTTGTTGTTCATAAGTGTTAGATCTAGAAAGTGTTGCTTTGTTTTGTTTGTTCTCAGCTACGTGACAGCAGATAATCCAATATCCCATAATGCATTGATTTAATATGTGCATACACACCATACCAACTTGGATGTGGTGGTGAAACCCTTTCAATATTACTATGTGAAGTTTGTATGGAGAATGATGAGATCATATGGGAATGACTGTCTGCTAAGTGTCACTGTGTCCCAGACAACAATGGATGATGATGGGTATAGTCTTGAAGTTCACAGATATTTCATATGTAAAAACACAGCATATGCATATGGTTTTGTTTTGTTTGTTGTTTCCTACTGCTCTCCATAGACTCCAAGCCACACGGCAGTGGCCAGTTTATAATGTAGTTTCAATCAGACAGTCCAATGATAAACATCATGAGCATTAATGTAGGCAATATGAATAATATGATGTACATCAACCAAGTCAATGGGCCTGACCACCCAGTCTTGTTAGTAGCCCCTGACAACAATCATTGGATGACAGTGTTTACCTGATTCTCCATTGGTTATAAACAATGTACAGAAAAACATCAGTTGTCAGAGCAGCCAGGACTGCCAGTGTATTTTCCTACACTGTCTCTCAGTGTATACCCTACCTCTTGCATGATCAGTGTCATTGATGGCACAGTTTCAGCAGAAACCTGTTGCTCTATAATGTTATTGGTTACTAGTAGAGGAAATACGTCATTTAATGGCAAGATGGGCTTTTCCACAGTAGTTTGAGGTAAAGCATATACTAGAACACATCAAAGCATTGACATTATACTGCAGCATTACAGATCATACTTCATCCTGATCAGATGAACAGATAGGTGCCAGGATGTTGAGATGTCAAGGTTACTTGATGACTCGGTGACTTGTCATAAGACAGCACCATTGTCTTAACATAATGTGGATGTCATAATATGGGTGTCATAATGTGAATGTCATAAAGTGAATGTCATAATGTGGATGTCATAATGTGAATGTCATAATGTGAATGTCATAAAGTGAATGTCATAATGTGAATGTCATAATGTGGATGTCATAATGTGAATGTCATAAAGTGAATGTCATAATGTGGATGTCATAATGTGAATGTCATAAAGTGAATGTCATAATGTGGATGTCATAATGTGGATGTCATAATGTGAATGTCATAAAGTGAATGTCATAATGTGGATGTCATAAAGTGGATGTCATAATGTGGATGTCATAATGTGAATGTCATAATGTGGATGTCATAATGTGGATGTCATAATGTGGATGATGTCATAATGTGGATGTCATAATGTGGATGTCATAATGTGGATGTCATAATGTGGGTGCAGATGTGTAACATTGGCATAATGAAATTTTAATCTGTTTTAGCTGGTCTAGACTGATGACAAGTGAGAACCATGGGAGTTGAAGATGTGTTTGACCGACTGGACACCTGTAAACTTGGTTATATTACTGCTGGCCAGTTGCTTGACCTGCACCATACACTTTCCTTCAGCCCTGTTTCCACTCAGCTGGTGAACACTGCTATACAGCAGGTTTGTGGGCAGGACGGTGTCGTTACCCGCAGCAGCTTTGTTGGTGTGCTGGAGGAGATAGAGAGGTTGCAGGCAATACATGAGCAGGCATACTGGGACTTCCAGGCTCTGGATTATAATGGAGATCACAGGATTACACTCAAGGATGCCCTCATGCTCTTTAAGGAGTTCCATGGAGAAAGTTTCAGCATGCAGACTTGGCATGACTTCCTCAGCTCAAGGACTGAGGCGAATGCAGATGTGTTTTTTGATGAGTTGTGTTCATGGCTGTGTGTGCTATCTTCTGGTGAAAAATTTTCCCAGGAACAGATGGCAGCTGAGAATGCCAGACTAGCAGAAACACACATTGATTTCCTAGAACATCAGTATCATACATTGTCGCAGTTCAAGGTAAGCAGACTTGACACTACATTATGAGTTCATTATCCTGTTTCAGCTGACATATCTCAATGATACCTATAAGGGGCAGTGGGGTAGCTCAGTGGTTAAAGCATTCACTTGTCACGCTGAAGACCCGGGTTTGAGTCTCCACATGGGTGCAATGTACGTGTTGAGACCATTGCTGGTGTCCCCCAACATGTTATTGCTGGAATATTGCAAAAGCAGCATAAAACTAAACTCACTCACTCAATGATATCTGTAATTTTTTTGTGGTACAGCCTATGCCTTTTGTATTTTAAATGAGAAAACACGAACAAAACTTTGATTCAAGTATATCTACTACATAGCCCATGTGAAATATTTTGAAACTAGAAATGTATACTCTGTGCTTTGATAAAACTGAAGTTTCAATCCCTTGTCACAGTTTATGTGTAGTTTGGTGGATCCAGATAACAAGGTATTACTTCATCTGCTGGTGACATCCTTACCTTGTACTTTGCTGGGTTAACCTCAATGGTCCGTTCAACACATCATGCCACCTCAGGTTGAATGGTCCAGAATGGGATATAATATGGCATTTACATTGCTGCACAAATTAGGGCTTAGCATGCTGGTTTCAAGGATGACCAACATAGGTGTCAGTGCCTTGCTATGCCGACCAGAATATGCCTTCTGCTGATCGTATGGAATGTGGCATGGGAGGAGGGTTTCCTCAGTTTGTAAACTTGCTGGTTGGCTTTACTATTTGAACTAGGCATCTAGTCTAAGCTCGGAAATCTGCAGTTCCAATTCAAGCACCAGACTTAGAAATTATATGGCAGTCACTGAATAAACTGCTTTTGAGTATAATTATGTTTAGGAATTAAAACTGATGTTTCTTGATTTGCCAGAAAGAAGACTCAAGCCAGTTAGATGACATAAGACACTGTGCTAATAGAAAGCTCAACAAGTAAGTATTTTAGATGATGCAGACATCTTCTTGTTTGTGTAGCAGCCTAACCACAGAGTGGACGTTTAATTTTTCTTTTTTCACTGTCATTCTATAGTTTGTACAAGTAAATGACTTTTAAGAAAGTAAGACAGATTATCAGTGACTTTACACTTTTTGTTTCCTTATTTTCTGAATAACACTTTTTAGACCCACTTTTGCATGGCATGCAGAATTCAGCTGTATGTGGTCAGGCAGTCAAACTTGAGTTGAGTGACTCCTTCTCAGGTAGTCAGCTGGATGTTTAAGGTGGGACCTGCCTGGTGTACATGCTAAGTCTCCAGATTGCACATGGCAAGTAGATATGATCAAGTCAGGTCATTGTAGGAAGGCCACAAATAGTTCTGGTCTCGAAACCCAGATAGGCAGCAGCAGTCTTCCAGAAACTGCAGCCTGCAGGCACCTGGAACAATAGACATGATGCTGGAGTTCCCTGTACCTTGACGAGACAATGTAATATTGAAAACACTATTGACGTAGCTGGATATCCACCCATGAGTGTATAAAATTGCTTCCAAGGGTGGATTGGTAAGCAGGCATTTCACTTAAATCTAATGAACATCTCCGGGATGTTTACACTCACTCACTCTGAGGCCAGCTTGTGTCATATGGTCTTGTCACTTGGCCCTGCAAGGAGCTCTCATCCAGAGCGGAATGCCACTACTCAGGTATCATGAACCTGGTGAAGAGGATGAGGCCTGTCTGTTGCACAAGACACTCTACAAGTGTGACAGCAGCTTGTGTGAACACTGTTGGTTGCGCAAGACGCTCTACAAGTGTGACAGCAGCTTGTGTGAACACTGTCTGTTGCACAAGACACTCTACAAGTGTGACAGCAGCTTGTGTGAACACTGTCTGTTGCACAAGACACTCTACAAGTGTGACAGCAGCTTGTGTGAACACTGTTGGTTGCACAAGACACTCTACAAGTGTGACAGCAGCTTGTGTGAACACTGTCTGTTGCACAAGACACTCTACAAGTGTGACAGCAGCTTGTGTGAACACTGTCTGTTGCACAAGACACTCTACAAGTGTGACAGCAGCTTGTGTGAACACTGTTGGTTGCACAAGACACTCTACAAGTGTGACAGCAGCTTGTGTGAACACTGTTGCACAAGACACTCTACAAGTGTGACAGCAGCTTGTGTGAACACTGTCTGTTGCACAAGACACTGTACAAAGTGTGACAGCAGCTTGTGTGAACACTGTCTGTTGCACAAGACACTCTACAAGTGTGACAGCAGCTTGTGTGAACACTGTTGGTTGCACAAGACTCTCTACAAGTGTGACAGCAGCTTGTGTGAACACTGTCTGTTGCACAAGACTCTCTACAAGTGTGACAGCAGCTTGTGTGAACACTGTGAACACTGTTGGTTGCACAAGACACTCTACAAGTGTGACAGCAGCTTGTGTGAACACTGTTGAACACTGTGCACAAGACACTCTACAAGTGTGACAGCAGCTTGTGTGAACACTGTCTGTTGCACAAGACTCTCTACAAGTGTGACAGCAGCTTGTGTGAACACTGTTGGTTGCACAAGACACTCTACAAGTGTGACAGCAGCTTGTGTGAACACTGTTGGTTGCACAAGACGCTCTACAAGTGTGACAGCAGCTTGTGTGAACACTGTCTGTTGCACAAGACACTCTACAAGTGTGACAGCAGCTTGTGTGAACACTGTCTGTTGCACAAGACACTCTACAAGTGTGACAGCAGCTTGTGTGAACACTGTCTGTTGCACAAGACACTCTACAAGTGTGACAGCAGCTTGTGTGAACACTGTTGGTTGCACAAGACACTCTACAAGTGTGACAGCAGCTTGTGTGAACACTGTCTGTTGCACAAGACACTCTACAAGTGTGACAGCAGCTTGTGTGAACACTGTCTGTTGCACAAGACACTCTACAAGTGTGACAGCAGCTTGTGTGAACACTGTCTGTTGCACAAGACGCTCTACAAGTGTGACAGCAGCTTGTGTGAACACTGTCTGTTGCACAAGACACTCTACAAGTGTGACAGCAGCTTGTGTGAACACTGTCTGTTGCACAAGACACTCTACAAGTGTGACAGCAGCTTGTGTGAACACTGTCTGTTGCACAAGACACTCTACAAGCGTGACAGCAGCTTGTGTGAACATGCAAGCAACTGTTGGAACTCTTCCAATCATGTGTAGTTTTACTATTATGCAATACTGTCTGTTGTCATTCAATTTCTGTTATGATCATTGTAATTCCTGTAGTCTGATTAGCTGAACTGGTCACATGATTTTGCATTCATTTCCCCATGAGTGTAAAAAGGTTAGCCACACCCAGCAAAGTAGACTATTTCCAACACTATGGAAAGTCATGGAATCACAATTACAGTCCAGGGAACCCCCTTTCTGCTGACTTCAATTGTCATGCCACGGATTCATGCATATTCAAGAAACCAAACCACCTTTTGTGGCTGGAGAAGGAAAGATGCTACATATGAGCAAGGCCTACAGGTTCAGTCGCCTGTGTTTAACAGCAGTTTTCACATCAGGGTTTTCCTCATTCCTCAATAAACTGAAAAAAATGCACATGCAATCTTTCAGTGAATCTTAAATGGAAACCTTCATATTCCAACAAAATGTCTTTATTGTCGCCTGCCATAAGTGTATAGAGATCATACCTCTGTCCTTCCGTCTGTGGGGACAAACTTAATTTCAGAGAAATTAGATTTAACACGCTGATATTACGGTCACCAGTACAAATGTGTAATGTGTCTTAAATTCATTCTGACAGAGTTAGGCACTTACTCCATTGCTTTTCAACTTAGTGTATACTGCATGAAACAGGAACAGATTTTCTTATGAAGTTACAGAAATCAAAGCTGTAAATGTAAATGTAAATGTTATAGCTGACCCCTCAGTACAACATATGTTACATGGAATATATTCATGATCACACTTTCTCAGTAAAATACACATTTTAATACTTTTGAGGGGGTCAAGGCCCTTCAGGCACCTACTCGCCAGTCAGTGATCTAATTCACTCATCCACAGTGGCTTCCACAAAATGGAAGACTGACAACTGATAGTCTAGATTGCATACTTTCTGTATCCCTCTGACAAGTGTATTCAGACCCTACAACAGTCACTGTTTTTGAGCAAACATAACATAATCCTTGGCATTTTTAGGAATGTACTAAGTGTGAAGTAACTGACTCATTTGATATATTTTCAACAAAATTATCACCACAACAAAACACTTCGAATTCAATTATTTGTACCAATGACTTGTAAGGTCACTTTTGAAGTAAAAATTCTGTCTGTATTTTCCAAGAAGCTGTATGTGAACTTGCTACTTCAGATGGAACCAATATGGAATTGAGTCTGTACTGTTTGATGACGGACTAGATGTAGGACTTGACCATGAAGTGAAAGTGCGAAGATCAAGAGAGAGTGTTGGAATGGTGGAGATCTTCGCTGCTCTAGACAACAAGTACACCCTGCTACAGGACAAGCTGCTTCTGGAAATGGCCAAATATTCAGCAAGTAGGTTGATGGAATTGGACATATACAACTAAGCTTGAGATTATGTACATGTGACTAGCTACCAAGGAATAAGGAATGGATAAACAGCAATTAACAGGATCGGATGGTCAGCCTCACTGAGTTAGTTGACACATGTATTTGTATCTCAGATGTTCCTGATGTCTATGACTGGATTGTCTTGTCCAGATTCTGTTAGTTACAGACCACTCTCATATAGCTGGAATATAGCTGAGTGTGGCATTAAACAACAAACAAACAAACAACAAGGTAAATAGTTATTTCAACAATATTTTCAAAAATAAGGATATTTCCTTTTGGATGCAATTATTTCCTATCTACCCTCAAATTTCATTTGTTCTGTGGGTGAATCCTGGTAGAAGTGTGGTGATGCTTCTCAAATGGCTACACTTCCAGCACTTTTTCTTAGGAGCCAAATCCTGTAAACCCAAATTGAATTTGACAATACAAGTAAAAAAATGATGATGGTTTAGAGAGTTTATCTCATGACATGGTCACTAATGGCTGTCCAAGTTGTGATTATATCAATTTTATTTGACAACACAGACATGTATTTCATTTGGCATATTATTTAAATTTTAAATCATATATTCAGTACTTTACCCAACTGTTCCAGCTGTGGACAGTGAAGTTAGTGAGATGTACCAGCATCTGAAACGTGAAAGCCTGGCCCTGAAGGGAGGCAACCTGGAGGTGGCTGACATGGCCGGCAGCCGGGCTTGGTTGTCTGGTAGAGTTGCCAGCTTCATGGGAGAAGTTGGAGCACCTCTGGAAATGCGATACAAGGAGCAGGAGGCACAAGTGCTGCAGTTAAAGGGAGAAGGAAAATCTGACCAGTTCATTAAGGATGCAATCCAATCATTCTACCATAACAGTCTGGCTGGTGAGTAGCTAGACTCCTGGTCTAGATGTAATTCCTTGTTTAGCAAATAACTATAGTGAGCTACCAGGATTAACAGATTATCTATGGACGTATTGTGTCAAACTTTGGAGTGACAAACTTGCGGTTGTCTTGAAATAGAAGCCTGGTCCCTGTATGTTCAAGATTTAGTAGTCACTTGCTGGTTGTGTTGAATCTCCCGATATCTCAAAGTATTGATGTACAGTAGAATACTTTTATAACGAACACGGATATAACAAACTGGCGGCTATAGCGAACTGTTTTAAAAGTCCCGAATAAACCTTATATTATCATATAAAAAAGTGAATATCGAACTACGGATACAACGAACTAATTTCAGTGGCCCCTTGGAGTTCGTTCTAAAGGTGTTTTACTGTAGATCCCTTCAACATCAAGGCAACAGGGGACAGCTGTCATTCTCCATAGAGTAAGGTCTGTTAACCCAACTCATGTCGAGATGATGGGACGTCATTGTCAAGACCACCTGTTAAACAGGAAAACTTAAAGAAATATGGATTTGTATCCCATTCACTTACTGGACATGTACACAGGCAATAGTCAGGGTTATGTAGCTCTTCAATCCTGGCTAAGCGGGTGAAAGAAAATCATAGAAAAATAAACCAGGGAATTTGTTTCCAGACGACTTTGGCAAATATTGATAGATGTCAACAGAGGCCCATATACAGTCAAACTTATCTGGACGCTTGCTTAGTCTCACTTTTTGTCCTGACATTTCCGGTTATGTGAATCTGGACAATTACCCCCTTACCAAACTTCTATGGAATGAAAAAAAAACCTGCTGTATAATGCTTAGAATCTACATCATATTCCCTCCATGACGTCACATCACTGGACATAAGGATTTACTACCATTTAAGTTACACTTCTTGCTCTGCTAGGCATTGACATTTCTTTTTCCATGAGCAGAGATCATTCCAAAATAACTGGGTAAACTTACAATCCCACAACAAGTGGGTAATTGTTTCACTATCAGTTTGGCAACATGTACATAAATCATTCTCTGTATACTTCAGTTTAAATATGTATGATTCTATATTGAAATCAACGAAGTTTAACTTCTTGTGTTGTTCGAAACATTTTGGAGTAGAGACTGTTTCAATTAAGATTATCAAACTGTGTTTCCCACTTTAACTGACCTTTTGTCTTTAAATCAGTACAGAATATATATGCTTTGCCTCTGATTTCTGACTAGGCAACTTCTGCAAGGTACATCTATAATCTAAAACAGTGTCTGATTGACCTCTATCTAAAGTAAGAAACTTCAAATATTGTTTGATACTGTTAACAATAGCATAACAATCAAAAATATTTGTGGAAGTATGGTACCTTTCTTTAAATATATTTAGCACTGTTAGTAACTAAAATTAACTATCTGGATCCAGAAACCAAATTTCTGGATAAATGAAGCATATAATATGTATTTTGTTTCGAGTATATATCATTATAGTGGGTTTCCACTGTACTGTCAGTATATATCATTATAGTGGGTTTCCACTGTACTGTCAGTATATATCATAGTGGGTTTCTTCTGTACTGTCAGTATATATATCGTTATAGCGGGTTTCCACTGTACTGTCAGTATATATCATTATAGCGGGTTTCTGGATATTTGGGGTCCGTACAAGTGGGTTTCTACTGTACTGTCAGTATATATCATTATAGTGGGTTTCCACTGTACTGTCAGTATATATTATTATAGTGGGTTTCCACTGTACTGTCAGTATATGTCATAATAGTGGGTTTCCGGATATTTGGGGTCCGTACAAGTGGGGTTTAACTGTACTGTCAGTAAATATCATTATAGTGGGCTTCTGGATATTTGGGTTTGTACAAGTGGGGTTCCACTGTATTGTCAGTATATATCATTATAGTAGGTTTCCAGATATTTGGGGTCCGTACAAGTGGGGTTCCACTGTACTGTCAGTATATATCATTATAGCGGGTTTCTGGATATTTGGGGTCCGTACAAGTGGGTTTCTACTGTACTGTCAGTATATATCATTATAGTGGGTTTCCACTGTACTGTCAGTATATATCATAATATTGGGTTTCCGGATATTTGGGTTTGTACAAGTGGGGTTCCACTGTACTGTCAGTATATATCATGATAGTAGGTTTCCAGATATTTGGGGTCCATACAAGTGGGTTTCCACTGTACTGTCAGTATATATCATTATAGTGGGTTTCCACTGTACTGTCAGTATATATATCGTTATAGTGGGTTTCCACTGTACTGTCAGTATATATAATTATTGTGGGTTTCCGGATATTTGGGGTCCGTACAAGTGGGGTTCCACTGTACTGTCAGTATATATCATTATATTGGGTTTCCAGATATCTTGGGTCCGTACAAGTGGGGTTCCACTATACTGTCAGTATATATCATTATTGTGGGTTTCCGGATATTTGGGGTCCGTACAAGTGGGGTTCAACAGTACTGTCATTATATATCATTATAGTGGGTTTCCGGATATTTGTGGTCTGTACAAGTGGGGTTCCACTGTACTGTCAGTATATATCGTAATATTGAGTTTCCGGATATTTGGGGTCCGTACAAGTGTGGTTCCACTGTACTGTCAGTATATATCATTATTGTGGGTTTCCAGATATTTGGGGTCCGTACAAGTGGGGTTCCACTGTATTGTCAGTATATATCATTATAGTGGGTTTCCGGAAATTTGGGTTCCGTACAAGTGGGGTTCCACTGTACTGTCAGTATATATCATTATAGTGGGTTTCCGGATATTTGGGGTCTGTACAAGTGGGGTTCCACTGTACTGTCAGTATATATCATTATAGTGGGTTTCCGGATATTTGGGGTCCGTACAAGTGGGGTTCCACTGTACTGTAAGTATATGGTCTGATGTCTGTATATGGTCTCTGATGTCACTATATGGCCTGATGTCAGTATATGGCCTCTGATGTCAGTATATGGTCTGATGTCTGTATATGGTCTCTGATGTCAGTATATGGCCTGATGTCAGTATATGGCCTCTGATGTCAGTATATGGCCTGATGTCAGTATGTGGTCTCTGATGTCAGCATATGGTCTCTGATATCAGTATATGGTCTCTGATGTCAGTATATGGTCTGATGTCTGTATATGGTCTCTGATGTCACTATATGGCCTGATGTCAGTATATGGCCTCTGATGTCAGTATATGGTCTCTGATGTCAGTATATGGTCTCTGATGTCAGTATATGGCCTGATGTCAGTATGTGGTCTCTGATGTCAGTATATGGTCTCTGATGTCAGTATATGGCCTGATGTCAGTATATGGTCTCTGATGTCAGTATATGGTCTCTGGTGTCAGTATATGGCCTCTGATGTCAGTATATGGTCTGATGTCTATATATGGTCTCTGATGTCACTATATGGCCTGATGTCAGTATATGGCCTCTGATGTCAGTATATGGTCTCTGATGTCAGTATATGGTCTTTGATGTCAGTATATGGTCTGATGTCAGTATATGGTCTTTAATGTCAGTATATGGTCTCTGATGTCAATTAATCTTGATAACAGGTCACTAGCTTACATATACTGTTTGATAGCCCTAATGTGTTTTAGTGGCCTTGACACAGACAGACACTATTCATGTCAAGGTCAGCATCAAGGAGGGTAAAGATAATTTGAGACTTCAGTGGGTGAGTAAATAGAGAATGCATCATGAGACTGCTCTCTCTATGACTACAAAGTTTTATGTGAATTGGAAACATATACCATAGTTTGAAATATAGTCCATGTTTAGGACAGCTAAGTTATAAAACAAAATGCCTGAATCTTCTTCTTTGAATACACAGGACCCACAACATGCGGAGAAGCAATCCAGGAACTGTTTGAAAGACAGAGGACGGAGAAAGACGCAATTATAAAACAAGTACAGGGTGTATCATCAGCTATGTTTGTGAAATATGCCTCCTTGTCTCGTCAGTGCTTCATCCTCACAGAAGAGTCGGAGTTCAGCACAGGCAGTGTTGCTGTTGGTTTAGCTGAGAGGATTCCAGGCCACTCATATCCAGGGTGAGTTTCCACAACAATTTGTCTGTAGTCATTTCAAGACCTATTACTCTTTGGATAAATTGGAAGACTTTTAATTTGTTAATAGCCAATGTATATGAAATCCTATGAAGTATGAATCCATCTTACCCTGTTCTAACTCACTTCGAGAATTCGACTATTATTATCATGCATAGTTCTTTTTATTAAATCTTTTGGAGAATATGCTGTTTGTTTATCTATGAAGTGGAACTAGATTGGATAAAAAAACATATCCTAAACAAGGGAATTGTTAGAAATAACAAGGCCCTTAAAACATAGTTTAAGCTTACAAGGGTTATGTCCCCTGAATATTGATCAATAATGTTCGTCTGTGACAACAATCATGGCGAACCACTTTGCATCCCATACTGCGGCAGAAATAGAATAAAAAATAATGAGTGTTAACGGTGTGTTGTGTTTTCGTGTCAGGAATAACTGTGTTATAACATTTACTAGAATTTGGCACCTTCAAAATCTAAAGGGTAATATATTCGTTCCACAGCCTTTTGCCAGGTAGTTGCACAGCCAGTTTAAATCCATATTTTGGCCTCCACCTCAGGAAATATGGATTCGAATAGGCTGTACTATCCTATACTACCTTGAAAATATCACCTGTGTTAGATACTGTAAGAACTGTGTGTTGCCATGTCAAGATATATCACCTGGGCAACTTACTGTATCAATAGTGTTGCCATGTCAAGATATATCACCTGGGTGACTTACTGTAACCATTGTGTGTTGCCATGTCAAGATATATCACCTGGGCAACTTACTGTAACAATAGTGTTGCCATGTCAAGATATATCACCTGGGCAACTTACTGTAACAATAGTGTTGTCATGTCAAGATATATCACCTGGGCAACTTACTGTAACAATAGTGTTGCCATGTCAAGATATATCACCTGGGCAACTTACTGTAACAATAGTGTTGCCATGTCAAGATATATCACCTGGGTGACTTACTGTAACCATTGTGTGTTGCCATGTCAAGATATATCACCTGGGCAACTTACTGTAACAATAGTGTTGCCATGTCAAGATATATCACCTGGGTGACTTACTGTAACCATTGTGTGTTGCCATGTCAAGATATATCACCTGGGCGACTTACTGTAACAATAGTGTTGTCATGTCAAGATATATCACCTGGGTGACTTACTGTAACAATAGTGTTGTCATGTCAAGATATATCACCTGGGCAACTTACTGTAACAATAGTGTTGCCATGTCAAGATATATCACCTGGGTGACTTACTGTAACCATTGTGTGTTGTCATGTCAAGATATATCACCTGGGCAACTTACTGTAACAATAGTGTTGCCATGTCAAGATATATCACCTGGGCGACTTACTGTAACCATTGTGTGTTGTCATGTCAAGATATATCACCTGGGCAACTTACTGTAACAATTGATATCTCATAGGAAATATTGTTTTGACAGTAGATTTTGTACAATGCCCTGACAATGCAATGACGTCATGAACTTGATGACGTCACAATGCTATGACATCGCTGCACTGCAAGTTTAATGACAGTACCGTGTTCAGAGATGTACATTTTTCATTGAAAACTAATGAAGAGTGTTTTTATCCCACCGGCATGTAATGCGGTGGGATATAGTCGTCGCCTCGTCTGTCTGTCCGTCCGTCCGTAATCATTTTGTTTCCGGAGCATAACTCAAAGACCGTTCGATATTTTTCAACAAAAATTGGTAGATATGTCAAACATAACCTAAGGTGGTGCCTTTTGCTATTTACAGATTATTGTCATTTTTATTTTTCCCGGTTTCCATGGAAACGATTCGGACTTAGTCCCAAAAGTGAGGGGTGGGCTTCGGACTTAGTCCCAAAAGTGAGGGGTGGGCTTCGTTTACGGAGCATAACTCAAGAACCGTTCAATATTTTTCAACAAAACTTGGTAGATATATCAAACAGAACCTTAAGTGGTACCTTTTGCTATTTGCAGATTTGGGGCATTTTACTTTTTCCCGGTTTCCATGGAAATGATTCGGACTTAGACCCAAAAGGAGGGGTGGGTTTCGCTTCCGGAGCACAACTCAAAAACTTATTACCGGTAATATTTTTCAGCAAAACTTTGCAGATATGTGAGGCAGATCTTGAAGTGGTGCCTTTTGCTATTTGCAGATTTTTGTCATTTTTATTTTTCCCAGTTTCCACGGAAACCATTCAGACTTAGTTTCCAAAGGGAGGGGTAGGTTTCATTTCAGACTCAAAACTTCTTAATATCTTCAAAAACTTGGCAGATATGTGAGGCAGATCTTGAAGTGGTGCCTTTTGCTATTTCATTTTTGTCATTTATTTTTTCCATGATTTCCATGGAACGATTTGCACTTAGTCTAAAATCAAGCTGGACTTTAAGTAACTGTCAGATGATTTGTTCTTTCAAAGATGTGGGGGCCGGGGGGATATGTCATCTTCTGATGACTCTTGTTTATGATAAATAGAATCTCACCCTCGTGGCTGCTGATATATATAAATATATCAACACTTGTTGATAAAAATAGAAATATCTTTGGGAAGCCTCGGATATTTGTAACTTTATCAACTCATAATATATTTCATATCAAAAGACACCCTGGGGAGATTCACTATATGTCACCTGGGCAACTTTCTGTAACAATTGTTTGTTGGGTGTGTTTGCAAGTGGTCCTCTCTGCTGTGGAAGGTCATCCTCTAGCTCCTGCTGTAGGTGACGTAAATTGTTATGGATATATGGTCTAGACAGCAGCAAACCCGAACCTGCAGTAACTGACGTGAGACTCGAGGACAGACAGAATGTTTTCACAACACATTAATGATATTTTGCATGATGGTTGTCATTCAATGACATTCATGTTTTGGATTTTGGTAGAGTTTTGCGTATTTGAGATATCGGGAAGGAAGTCTGAATGAAAAACCTAGAGGTCTTATGATCATCCATTCAGGGGACTATATGATCAGCCTTGGACTCCAAGATTCTTATCTACATGTGTCAGTCTACCCAAGCCGTTGCAACTACTTTCAGCTGTCTTCCAGGCAATGCGGTATAAATGGAAGGTCCTCCTGTTTGGAATTTCCATAGCCCCATTGCCAAATCATGAGACCCACCACACAGCTCCTCCATCGCAGGGGGATTGTGCCAGAAACCTACATAGAAGACTGCATTTAGGTCCATTCTACTGCACAATTTCTTCAGAAATAATTTTGCTTCCTCACTCGGTTGCCAGCTGGAGATTATAGTCAACATCAAGAAGTTGGAACTCCATACCAAAAACCAACTCCATTTGTCTCCACGGACACTACATCTTCATGCTTGGCACATTATCAGAGATCTCTAATGGTGAAAGGATACTTCAAAAAGAGTTCTTAAAGCAGCCACATCGGCTCTTCACACTTCCACCCATTCCCTCTAACAAATGAAGATGTTTGAAGAATATTGCAAGCTGCATGATGTTTCATCACCTACTATGGCTTTGGCACAGACAGTCGCCCCATCTCGACATTGCAAGAAAATTGAAGCTATTTATATTGCAGCTACCAACACAGTTATGGCCATGGCAAAAGCGAACAAGCTTTCTACAGTTCCAGAACTTCAATCACTTCTACGATCCAACAAGGTGGCTGAAATTCTGCCATCCAGCTTCAGATCTTTTAGTGGTTCTAGACATCTGATTTCTGCTAGCTGATTATGAGACACTAGGAAAAGGACTTTGTGGGCCTGACCCCCGGAAGAGTCTTTCACATAGATCTCACTACAACACACATCTTGAAGATTCATGTCTTTGTGATATCAAACAAGTATGTTTCGAAAGGAAGCAGTATGGTAAGGTTTTCATGGGTGTCCATCAGGACTTCATCCTGAAGAATCAGTTGCCTGATCAACTGGACAGATTGTTCACCATTTCACTATTGTCTTGCATAATTGGGCCTGATGATGTTGAAGATCTCTCTCAGGGCCCTTAACATCTATATCAACATTTCACAATACTGTCATACTGTCTTTATCCTGTTAACCCGAGCATCTTCAGCAGATGTATCTAGAACCACCATTGCCTTTCGGATGTGTCCAGTGATCCTCCAAGCTGTAACCGTGAATCCCCAGGTTGCTTCCAATTCTAACAAGATGAGAGCAGTCTTTGGCCCTGGGTCCTGGTTCAATAGCTGTAGACTGCCTGGCAACACAAATGGACATATCTCCAGGGTTACCTTGGGAATTGATTCGACATTTGTAGATTACAGAATGAATTATGTTAATCCTTGATTGACAAGTCTTTATTCTGTTGAAGTTCAACCATGACACTGGTGTTGTCACAAGGCAATGAAGATAAACCATGTATAATGGCTCTGAGGCAAACCATATATAATGGCTCTGAAGCAAACCATGTGTAATGGCTCTGAGGCAAACCATGTGTAATGGCTCTAAGGCAAACCATGTGTAATGGCTCTGAGGCAAACCATGTATAATGGCTCTGAGGCAAACCATGTGTAATGGCTCTGAGGCAAACCATGTATAATGGCTCTAAGGCAAACCATGTGTAATGGCTCTGAGGCAAACCATGTATAATGGCTCTGAGGCAAACCATGTATAATGGCTCTGAGGCAAACCATGTATAATGGCTCTGAGGCAAACCATGTATAATGGCTCTGAGGCAAACCATGTGTAATGGCTCTGAGGCAAACCATGTGTAATGGCTCTGAGGCAAACCACGTATAATGGCTCTGAGGCAAACCATGTATAATGGCTCTGAGGCAAACCATGTGTAATGGCTCTGAGGCAAACCATGTATGGCCTCAAACCACGTATATATTGAGGCAAACCATGCTCTGAAAACCTCTAATGGCTCTGTGTGGCTCTGAGGCAAACCACGTATAATGGCTCTGAGCCAAACCATGTGTAATGGCTGTGAGGTTATCCTCACATATTCGCTAACCTCTAGTCTGTGTGAACAAACATGTTAGTAAGTGTATGAACTCTTGTGTGATTTTTTTTAAGTACTCTCCTCCTGTGGGTGCTTCATTGTCAGTGTCAAGACATAAATAGAAGATGAAAAGTGGTCATTGACGGGATGTGTTCAGAATATTAAACAGAGAGATTACTGAGCTGTTCGGCCTTTCACCTGTGTGCATCTCTACAGGGGACAGTTTGGCAAAACTTGCCATCTGGGACTAATATGAGGACCAAAAGATCTTTGGATTTTGGGGACTGTTAAAAATCAGGGTCAGGGGCGGATACAGCTTTTTCAAAAAGGGGGGGTGCACACTATTGAGAAAAGGTGTGTGTGTGTGCACACTTCATTTTCATCTGAGTTTCAATGGTCATTTAATAAACTTTCAAGACAAAAGATCCCCCTCCCCCCACCCCCTCGGGATCATCATTTGTCCTTTTATGGTACAACAATAAGTCATGTTACTTGGGATCACCCCCTAAAGTATCACTAAGGGTATCAAAAGATGTGGACTAGGTGAGCCACTTGTGAACAATTCATCACACAGATGTCATCTACCTACAGATTGGGGTCATCTGCAGCCCACCATTCAACCCTGGGTTAAGTACGTAACATGTGATAGGATAAGTATTATAAGTATACAATTCATTGTTAAATATACAATTTATTCAAAATTTCATTCAGTCTTGTGAACCAGTCCTTGGAATGGACCTTAGTTTTCAGAAATACATACATATATTACAAATGCCATACATTGACTTCTTAGAAGTTATATTTGTTGTCAGGTTACTATTATGTGTCAGCATACTGCGTATCCAGCAAATACCTGTATGAACAGGTGATGGATGGTCCATGCATCCATGATGCAATTGTGATCTCGAGGAATAACTGCATATTACCTTTTCATACCATTTTTTCCATGCTTAGGTCTAAAAAAAAAAGTGTTGTGGTTCCGATTACCTGACCGACCCTTGAATTCTGGTGCCGATCCTATTTTTTTTAAGTGGTATGAATGAAATCAGCTTTCAGATACCATTGTGTTTTCCTGGCACCAACGGACATTGGTCATTCTGATAGAGAAATTCAACATGATGGCTGCAAGCTTGTTTGAATAAACAATTACACATTGATAAATGTGTTATTAGTTTGTACTTTACTTCTAAAACAAAATGTAAAAAATAAGAAGTCCTCCTACCGACCGACCGACCGACCTACCTACCTACCTACCTACCTGCCTGAAATTTGAAAGAGGTGTAATCGGAACCACAACATTTGTTTTATTTGGCCTTACGCCCAGAGTGACAATAGTTGTGTGTTATTTTTGTCACAGTGTTTTGGTGAATGTGCCTTCATAATGGCAAAGTAGACAATGGTAAAATTGTTGAATGACCTCTTTCTCTCATAGAAACAGGACCTTCACTGTCTGACTTACACTGTTGTCTATTTGTTGGCTGGAGGGCAAGAATACTGTTGTCATCTCAGCTGCCATACGATCATGTGTATTTGTTCAGGTTCCCATAAATGCCACTTATAAACAAATCAAATTTTATGAAGTCCTTAAATGGTTTTTTTTATCCTACTTCATCTTGATCTTTGCCTCTGAAATAATGTAAACAGGCATAAAATTGCACAGTATAATTGTGGGATTTTTTTATGTATAAGATGTCCAATAAAGTTATACAAAACCAGGTTTTAGAGGGTTATTATAGTAAAAATACAGGATGTTGTCTTCATTTAATTATTTCAAACAAAATTACTTCTGTAAGGTTTTCCATAGAATTGGAACTGATTGGTTTTGAGATGATAAATTCAATTAATAATATTGAAAAATTTAGACAATTCATATTAGTAGAATAGGTCAGATCTGATATAAAGACAAATCAATCAGTCCAAGGCTGCTTGTGAAGATTAAACTTGGACTCTTTTTCCACACAAAAATGTTATCAATGTTGATGAATGAGTAAATGGTAATTCAGACATGGTTAAAAAATATACATAACTGAATAATAACTGAATTTTTAACATCCACAAAATTTGATTGACCTCAATTCCTAAAAACTGGTTTCTGAACATTTTTGGTCGACTTAAAACAATTTCGGGGCAACACATAACCCACATTTCTGTGATATAGTTGAGAATTGATATCTTTCAACAGGTATAACTGGGATCGGACAAGGTCTGAAAGTTTAGCCAAAGAGCGTCTGGAACAGCGTACTGGCCATCGCCCAGTGAGGACCAGTGGAGTTGTGACGGTAGTTGAAAGTACCGATGCCAGCCGGCTTGACATGCAGATACAGGTGGTCACAGAGCTGGAGAGGAAACAGTACTTGGAGAGAGAGGTGACTTACTGGCAAACTCTTGCCTTTTGTGAAACATGACAAAGTAACATGGACAATATTTAAGACCTCAAGTTGTACAGTATTATTTCTTGTGACTGGAAAATTGATGTTGATGAGTATGTTATAGACAAATAGTTTTGTACTCAGTTCATATGAAGACATAAGCAGCAGTTGGGCAGCCAGCTGACAGTCCACATTGAAATGTGGGTTCATTCACACATTGTCTTCCTACTGTTGAGCAAACCTGTTCCCCAGGCTGCTATCAGATCCCTCCACCTCACTTCTGAAGCAGACTTAGTGTTCCTGCATTAGGTTTTCCATTCCCTTTTGTTTCATGCGAAAACATTGACTGCAAATGTCATGCCTTGAGCAATTTGTTCCCAAAGTTTAAACTGCCTGACCAAACACACTTGCCATCATGTTATCAGCCAGTTCATAAATCACTGTTCTGTGTGAGAGTATAGTGAAACTTGCTGTCTTGTGCCATAGTGCTGGATATTAAGACCGTTATATAGTTACAGTCCGTTTGGCTCAAAAGCGGACCGATGAATTGCAATCTAACTCGAAAACTAATAAATGTAACATACTCAATGAAACGCTGATCATAATCAAAACATCATACCCACTCTGTGAGGTTTTTGCAGAATTTTTGTCCTAAAAATAATAAAGTTGTTTAACAAACTATCATTAAAATATTGACACAGTTCACTGTTTGTTACGAGGGAGGAGTGCAAAGAAAGGGACAGCCAGGTGTTCGAGAAGCACGATCACAGACAAAGTTATTTTTTCATTAACCTGGCTATTCCTTTCTCTGCACTCCTCCCCTCGTAACAAATAGTGAACTGTGTCAATATGTTAATGATATATTGTTAAACAACTTTTTTATTTTAGGACAAAAATTCTGCAAAAACCTCACAGAGTGGGTATGATGTTTTGATTATGATCAGCGTTTCATTGAGTATGTTACATTTATTAGTTTTCGAGTTAGATTGCAATTCATCGGTCCGCTTTTGAGCCAAACGGACTATATATAGTATATTATATACAATTCGGTTGTTATTCACTAGTATATAACATGGATCTCATGAATGGTTCCTTTTTTCACATGGTTGACTTTTGAAAATTGGGTTGGTGCATGTATTTGTTTTCCCACCATTTTGACTTATTTCACAAACATATTCACATTGTTAAGTTGTTTCTATGGTGATTTGGTGCATGTTTCTACGCCATTTTCAGCCTTTATTCCACCTCTTTCCTGACAATAGTCAGGTATTGGTCATACTGGCTTGAGACTGATCTTGCAATAGCTTCTGTTGTTCCAGAAGTTGCCACACAGACAACTTCTGTGATGTCAGTATACAAGGGTCTCACGCTACTACAGACAAGTTTATCCAAAGTAGATGCTATCAAAGTGTCGATGTCAAAGTTTAAGACCAATGACATGGGGAACCTTAGGCTTTATCATGACTTACACCAACCCGTTCTTCACCATGTAGAATATTAGCAGTGAGCTGGCCAGTGACCCAAATTGAGGAGGTCAACCTCTTCTCTTCTATTTTGGCAACATTAGGAATATCTTTTTTCTACTTCAGCCTGTTCATTGTAAGGTCGATTGGCCATGGATGAACTGATCATGGGGACATTTTTCACTGATAAACATGATGATTCTTCCGATAAAGATCCAATTTTCAGCCTCTGAGCTACTATGTGATTATCCTTTATTAACCAATTCACTCATGACAATCAGAACCAAAACACACTCAGTGAAAACAATGTACAACATGGAACGTTTACAAGGGTTTCATGAGTGCAAATGGTGAAACAGTCTACATGCACAGTACACATGTCAGTACTTAAAATATTTCTCCAATGCATAATATGCATATTTCATGTCTTTGTAACATGTAACATGGCAGTTTGGGGCTCCAGGAAAACAAAAAGACTGTGGCAAAGAAGAGTAGTCCTCTTTCATTAGTGAACATAACCTCAGCAATGTCACATTCAAGCACACAGGTTACACTTCATTACAGCCTCTTAATAGTTCTGGCTCTGGTCTATGCGGGACATTGAATGAAAACATTTACTTAAGTGTTGATCCTTAATGTACAAGGTATCCAAACAATGTCCTAACGATTACAATCAAGAAGTAAAATCATCTACATCTATGTGGCAGCATCGTCATTTTAGAGTGTTTAATTCATTTCTCTTTGATCTTATCAAGTTTCTATTATCGTTATCACCTTGATAAAAACAGATGTGTCAGAAATTTTCATGTTGAGGGGTCACCTTGGGGATGGGTAGTGATCAGGAAGCCAAATCATGTCACTCATCGTAAACATTGTATTGTGTATTATTGCACTCCTATGATGAGAAAATATTATTTTTCCTTATCCTGACTCATGCTTATTTGCTTTCTCATCCTCTCTTCCGAACGATCAAGTGGAAACTTGAATCCCTTCGATTTCCTTGAAGCGAACGTACAATCACTCACCCTGAATTACCTCCCTTTTCCCGCCAAAACTAGCACGTGACCTGCCATGCCTTGCTCCTCACTCTCTCCTCTATCGCCTAAGCGGACGGTTGGGTGGTCACTTCAGGGTCCCTTCGCGGCTTATAACTTCAAATATTTTGGATATATAGCACAAATTCTGCCGTGATTGTGTTTCTAAATACGTTGTTTATCATATTTATAACAAAATTTGTACATTGTATGTCAAATTAATTCACAATTTCACTTCGTTCCAGGTGACTGTTTGTTCACATGTTTTCAATGTAAACAACAGTCCATCACGTCTCAATGCTTGATTTACACCCTAGGTGTTCTTCTTGGCTGGTTTACAGGTTGAATATATCTTGATGTTTGATTATTGTGTATAATCATGTGTATATATTGAATTTATGACTTCATATATCTGTTGAATTGTGAAATATCTGACTTACAAAATTTTTCACATGTGATTGAAGAATTTGAGCCTAAAGTTATGCAACCTGTTGTCAGATTCAACCAGCCTGCGTTGAGAAGGTGATATACAGCCTTGAGTACTGTAAGTTGCTGCGACTACGTCTTGAGAGCTGTGCTGATCTACGATGTCATCCCAGTCGAAGTTCTGCGACGTCACCAGTAGGGGAGAAGTCTACCCCACGTACTGTAAGTAAAAGGAAGTCCCCACAGGCAGAGACGGCGCAACATAAGAAACACCAGACGGACGTTTCAGGGAAGCGATCCACGTCATCCAGGAACTCATCTAGATCTTCCCACTCTACAAGATCTTCGAGGTCGTTGTTGCATAACCCTATGCAACGACCTTCAACAAATGTTGGGGCGCCTGGTGCTGAAGTAGATGGTTCCAGTCCTTTGGGACCTCCAGTGTTGCAGCCTGAGGTCTTCCTTGCAGCGTCGCAGAGAATATCTAGTGCTGAGAACTTGTCAGCGCAGATTAGAAGTATGACGTCACCGATGTCATCGTTGCAGTCTACCCTTGGCAGTGATGCTGTGAGATCGTCAAAGATGTTACATCTTCCTGTTGGCAGTCTACCGCAGCAGTTGCAGCAGAAGCAGATGTCAGCTGAGAACCCTTTGGCATCTGAAAACGCTACGTCGTCAGCGATGTCGACAGACGAGTCAGTTGCAGTCATCACGCAGCAGCGTCCGATTACAAACGCAGAGGCCCTCAATGTTGAAGATTTTGCTGACACCATCACCCGTAGGGTGATGCAGGCTATGGAGATGAGCAGGAGAAGAAGCAGACGGTTCCTGAGAACAACGCTGCAGAGGGCGAGATGATGGCAGACATCGCAGACTGGTCTTTTACTACGTCGTCAGCAGTCAATGTAGTCATCTCTAGTCAGAGCCTAGCAGCTGAGCGGGGACAACCTGCAGTAGAGGATGACTTCATCTTCACTGAGGCAGAGGTACTGGCGTGGGTGGCTGATGGTCTCCCGATATCGTCTCCAACCAGAGACTTTAATCCGGCCGAGATGACTTCGAGTCGATTACAAGAAGGAAGATGACTTCGAAGGTTGCGATTACCATACCAGCCGATGAAGCCCATTGGCGCAGGTTGCAGACAACCTTCCGGCATCATAACATGGACCACTTCAACAAGGCGCCTGACATCGATGAAGATTTCTACCTTGTATCAGATTCGAAGTCTCGCAGTTACAAGGTGGAAGACAAGAAGTTGGTGCAGCTTGATACGACAACCCGTAGGGCCTTTTACGGGTTAGCAAGGTCCAGAGCCATCAACGAGCTTTCAAGCATCCTAAGATGGAAGAAGAAAGAATGATCCAGTCTACACTAGTGTTACAGCGCAAGGATCAGGAGTTACCTCCGATCACTTGGCCTCTACGTCGGCAGGCATCACACTTTTACATCGTCAGGGGCTGCTGAGTTCCTCTACATGGCCAGATGTCTACACCAAGCCTTTCATACGAAAACCTTGGGCAGCGCCTACACTGTTTGACGGCGGCATCCGGCAGTTGTTGCGTGAAGTAACTCAAGATTCCAAGGACTTGATGTTGATCAAGTCGGTCCAGACGATGAACACCATGGTGCGTCAACTCAGGATCTTTTCGTCGCCCAAGTAATACCAGAAGTTACTCCGGCCGTGGACGGTCCCGTTATTGAAGATCAGGTTTGGAACGACTGGCGTCTTCCACCCCCCAGCCGTTCCTGTAAAACCGTCAACCGTGGGTGGACGGTTGGGTCTATACTGGGAGAATTGGAGAGCACTACAGGATGACTACGTCATAGAAGTATTACGAGAGGGCTACAGTATCCAGTTTCCGAATAACCTAAACCGATTGTCGCTTATCTCCATCAGAAGGGGCTAAGTAGTGCCTTCTACCTAGACGACGGCATCCAGGCACATCAAGATGCAGATCAACTCAGACTACAGCTGCAGTTTACGATCAACCTGCTGACACAGTTGGGCTGGCAGGTGAATCATCAGAAGTCGGAGCTGGAGCCGACCCAAGATCTACAGTTTCTGGGCATCAGATTCCTGACGTTAGAGAACCACATCCTGGTACCAGACGACTGATGGCAGAGCATCCAATCGTGCATACCAGACGCCCTCAACTCTCCACTAGACTTAAGAACGTGGCAGCGACTCTTGGGTCTACTGACGTCGGCGCAGGCTCTCAAACGCAGAGGAAGATTGCAACTTCGACCTCTACAGAGGTTCCTGATAGCTCATCTAGACGATGTCCAGAAGTTCACCATCCCACAACATCTAAAGTAGTACCTGCTTTGGTGGACAGTAAGATCGATTGTTTGCGGCGAAACCTATTTGAGAGAGCCAGAGTACGATCTTCATCTCTACGCCGATGTGTCCCTCCAAGGCTGGGGGGCACATCTCAACGACGAGGTTCCAGTAGGGCAGTGGTCACTAACAGAGAAGAATCTGCACATCAACCAGCTAGAACTGAAAGCAGTAATAGAAGCAGTTCTATAGTGGGCGGCGCAGTTAGAAGATCCGATCCTGATGATACACACGGACAACTCCACGGTGGCTTTTTACATAAATCTGCAAGGGTCCACGAGATTTCCTGTTCGACATCGCAGACGAAATCAACCTGAAGATGAGGGCTTGCCACATCCCAGGGGCAAAGAACATCCTAGCCGACGCCCTATCCCGACCAGTACGGCCGTCTCCCACAGAGTGGAAGTTACATCCAGAAGCGTTCGAGTAGGTAACAACTCAACTAGGCCGTCCCCTCATCGACCTGTTTGCAACCCGTTTCAACCAGCAGGTGACAACGTTCATCTCGCCAGTGCCAGACCCGCTTGCATGGGCTGTCGACGCCTTAGCCATATCTTGGGAGGGAATGAAGGCCTACGCCTTCCGTTCCTGCTACCTCAAGTATTACGCAAGATCAACCAGACAAGGGTGCTACAACTGATTTTGGTAGCGCCTTATTGGCCAGCGAGACTATGGTTCCCAGACCTCATTGATCTTCACGGCGAACCAGTTCTACGATTACCAGATTGGCCGAACCTACTCGTCCATCCTCACACCATTCAGTGTCACGGCAACCCAGAAGCGTTCCAGTTACACGTATGGAGCATATTACGTACTGCTTGAAGAATCGAGGTTACTCCACTAGAGCAGCCAAGGCTGTGACCTTGGCCCTACGAAGATCTACACTTGTATGATGACAAGTGGAGAAGTTTTGACCAGTATGCTGTTCAACAGGGGTTCACGGCCAGAAAGGTGACACATCCAAAAGAAGCAGAATACTTTTGTCATCTGAGGTCCACTAGACATCTGAAGGGCTCTACACTGTCTACATACCTTAGGGCAATCAGCTCGGTCATCACCATGAAGACAGGGGTGAAGTTGACCAAGGTGCCTGAACTAGTGGCCCTGCTGAGATCTTTCAAGTTGGAAGATCAACAACAGAAGTTCAGAGCACCAGCATGGGCCCTCAACATAGTGTTGCAGCACCTCATCAGTGATGTATACGAACCACTGATGCAGACGACATTTGAGTTATTGACTCAAAAGACAATATTCCTCCTCGCCTTGGCTACTGCTGCTCGGATGTCAGAAATACACGCCCTTGACTTCAGCCGTACAAGATTCGACACGGGAAGAAGGGAAGCAGTCCATCTAGGCCTTAGATGGGACTTTATAGCCAAGAACCAGTTACCGGGCCAACCGGATCGTCAGTTCTACGTTCCGGCATTATCAACAATCCTGGGTCCAGAAGACACTCAAGATTTATCTTTATGCCCGGTCAGAGTGCTGAGAATCTACTTGCAGAAATCTGCTACGAGAAGAAGGAAGTTCAAGTGTCTATTCATCCAGCTATCCACCGCCTCGGCTGTACAAGTATCCTGTACAACGATCTCCTTCTGGATCAGAGCAGTGATCCTAAGAGCCTATAAAGCAGCAGGGTTAGAGCCTCCAAGAGCATCAAACCCACATGAAGTTTGAGCTTTGGCCTCGACACTCGCCCTACATGGAAACTGCTCTATATCATCTATAATGGAAGGCTGCTTTTGGAAGTCAGACACTGTCTTCGCTAATCACTACCTGAGAGACATCTCCACAGAAGACGTATCTGGGATACACCAGTTCGGCCCTCTAGTCGTAGCGCAACAACTCACTGTACCGGCCAGACGTTGAAGAAACTCACCTTTGTCACGCAGATTCGTTGACGCCAGGCAACTGTCTGCCAGGTCCATGTTCCCCTGACTTACGAGATAAGTCAGCGCATGAATGATACATAGACTCAGTTAGGGTAATGTTCTTGCCTTAACAGATGGGTCGCGATTCCAGTTTCGCTAAAGTTTTTACCGTAACATATTGGGTCGTTGCAGATATCTAGACAACCAGGCGTCTAGTATACTAAATCCACAAAACTTAAGAAGTTTACTTCTAATACGAATGTATAAGAAGGTGGTCCCCCCGACAAGCATCAAGAAATATTGAAGTTAGCCGCAGAAGAAGAAAATACCCAGGGGGTATATATATCAAGTGAACGCTGACATAGATACAATCATACAGGGAATCCTGTTAGGTGGTTGACCCACCACCGATTCCGTCGGATTCAGTAAGCAAATAAGCATGAGTCAGGATAAGGAAAAATAAGTAATTTTTATGATAAAATTGATATTTTATACTTATCCTGACTCATGAGATGAAGCCCTCCCAACCGTCCCCTCTCACCACACGGGTTTCCGGGTTTTCCACGGGTGCGTGATTGTACATTCGCTTCAAGGGAATTGAAGGGATTCAAGTTTCCACTTGACCGTTCGGAAGAGAGGATGAGAAAGCAGTAAGGAAATAAGTCAGGATAAGCATAAAATATCAATTTTATCATAAAAATTACATAAATTTGAATCTATTTGACCCTGAAGTGGTGTGGGGCGTCGGGGGTAGCCAAGTGGTTAAATTATTTGCTTGTCATGCCGAAGAGCCAGGTTTGAATCCCCACATGGGTACAATGTGTGAAGCCCATTTCTGGTGTCCACTGCCGCAATATTGCTGGAATATAAAAAGCGGAGTAAAACCATACTCACTCACTTTAGTGGTGCGATTTTATGGTGTGTACAAAACAGGTAACTTTACTCGTGCCTGTCAGACACCATTTATCTAAACGAATTTAACTTGCCTTTGCTAATTAAATATGTTTTAAAACACCTTGTTGTAAGATAAAGTGAGTGAGTGAGTTTAGTTTTACGCCACACTCAGCAATATTCCAGCTATATGGCGGCCGTCTGTAAATAATTGAGCCTGGACCAGACAATCCAGCGATCAACAGCATGAGCATCGATCTTGGCAATTGGGAACTGATGACATGTGTCAAACAAGCCAGCGAGCCTGGCCATCCAATCCCTTTAGTCGCTTCTTATGACAAGCATTGGTTACTGAAGGTTCATTCTAACCCGGCCCTTCACAGGTTGTAAGATAAAGGATATCATTAGTGTAGTAATCTCTATTCCTAGAGTTTCAAATTCACCAAACCCATCTATTGCTTCCAAGTCTGTGAGCCCAGTACATTTTGTTGATTCAGTATTTTCCTGTGTTACAGGCTATCATTCACATGCTACAAGGACATGACATACAGGCTGCACTGAATGGTGCAATGAAAATGTCAGCTACAGAGCTCAAGAGACGAGCACATATGTTGAGGAACCAACACTTGACCTGGCGTGAGAGTGTTCAGAATGACAGTCACTCCACTGCTCATGCTGATATGCTGCAAGAAGGTAAGCACCTCCACTGCCACATTGAGGTAAGCACCTCCACTGCTACATTGAGGTAAGCACTTCCACTGCTACATTGAGGCAAGCACTTCCACTGCTACATTGAGGTAAGCACTTCCACTGCTACATTGAGGCAAGTACCTCCACTGCTACATTGAGGTAAGCACTTCCACTGCTACATTGAGGCAAGTACCTCCACTGCTACATTGAGGTAAGCACTTCCACTGCTACACTGAGGTAAGCACTTCCACTGCTACATTGAGGCAAGTACCTCCACTGCTACATTGGGGTAAGCACCTCCACTGCCACATTGAGGCAAGCACCTCCACTGCTACATTGGGGTAAGCACCTCCACTGCCACATTGAGGTAAGCACCTCCACTGCCACATTGAGGCAAGCACCTCCACTGCTACATTGAGGTAAGCACTTCCACTGCTACATTGAGGTAAGCACCTCCACTGCCACATTGGGGTAAGCACCTCCACTGCTACATTGGGGTAAGCACTTCCACTGCTACATTGGGGTAAGCACCTCCACTGCTACATTGGGGTAAGCACCTCCACTGCTACATTGAGGTAAGCACCTCCACTGCTACATTGAGGTAAGCACCTCCACTGCTACATTGGGGTAAGCACTTCCACTGCTACATTGGGGTAAGCACTTCCACTGCTACATTGAGGTAAGCACTTCCACTGCTACATTGAGGTAAGCACCTCCACTGCTACATTGAGGTAAGCACCTCCACTGCTACATTGAGGTAAGCACCTCCACTGCCACATTGCGGTAAGCACTTCCACTGCTACATTGAGGTAAGCACCTCCACTGCTACATTGGGGTAAGCACCTCCACTGCTACATTGGGGTAAGCACTTCCACTGCTACATTGGGGTAAGCACTTCCACTGCTACATTGAGGCAAGCACCTCCACTGCTACATTGGGGTAAGCACCTCCACTGCTACATTGGGGTAAGCACTTCCACTGCTACATTGAGGTAAGCACTTCCACTGCTACATTGAGGTAAGCACCTCCACTGCCACATTGAGGTAAGCACCTCCACTGCTACATTGAGGCAAGTACCTCCACTGCTACATTGAGGTAAGCACCTCCACTGCTACATTGAGGCAAGCACCTCCACTGCTACATTGGGGTAAGCACCTCCACTGCTACATTGAGGTAAGCACTTCCACTGCTACATTGAGGCAAGCACCTCCACTGCTACATTGAGGTAAGCACCTCCACTGCTACATTGAGGTAAGCACTTCCACTGCTACATTGAGGCAAGTACCTCCACTGCTACATTGGGGTAAGCACTTCCACTGCTACATTTGGGTAAGCACTTCCACTGCTACATTGAGGCAAGCACCTCCACTGCTACATTGAGGTGAGCACCTCCACTGCTACATTGAGGTGAGCACCTCCACTGCTACATTGAGGTAAGCCCCTCCACTGCTACACTGAGGTAAGCACCTCCACTACAATGTGGCTAGCCTCACTCTATAACATGAACATCTCATTATCTGTTATGCATGATTATGATATAAGTTAATTGTAAAGGGTTTTGATAAGACATCTATCTATACATTTGTTCAAATCTGGGTGAATTGCACCTAGGTGCATTTTTTAACATAGGCCCAACCCCACCATCCTGTATCCTGGTGGCAGCACCACCTTGACAGACAGGGTCCCACATACTTGGTGTATTCACTGTCAAGAGAAGCTCTGCAGTATCACATCTCACTTTGACTCCTCCTTCATTGATCTGCATAGGAAGGTGTTGCTTCTACATTACCTTTATCATCAAAAAAGTCTTGTAAGGTGTGTATTCTCAATGAAGGCGTCTACCAAGTCCTTCACCAAGAGGTATTCTTCGAAGGACATGGTGATACACAGTAAGAGGGTGTGGAGACTTGAACTGACTTCAAGAGGAGGAGACAAGAATTTTTCATATCAATAGTGCTCAGCTAAGATCTCTCATCATCTGTTTCACCCATTTGAGGGAGCGTCTGTCTTGGGCTTGCTGGCATGACAGACATGACACTTCTGTTGACTTGGGGCCCAGGTAGTAGTAGTGGTCTACATACAAACACCAAGTCCACTGCTTTAATTCACAAGACTACATGTTTAATGGATTGGTGTATGACATTCTGCACATGGGACAAAAGATGAGAATTGGATGGAAACTGTAATGGTGCCTATGATGGTAGAATTTCTTCTCCGACTGTAAGATGGACAAAGTCACATATGGCACGTTTGAGGGACACTTATTTAATCCTTTTATCAGTTCTACAGCGTGATGGGCTAAGAATTTGAGATCATCCATTACTCAATTGTCTTATGGAACTGTTTATGATTGGTGGATATTTTCAGTAACTACCAGGTATGAAAGGCAATCCATATTTGGGTTTATTGTCTAGCAGGTTTAGACAGCTGCATTGCAGACTTATACATTCTACACACTCTTCATTATGTTTATTAATATAGGTCCATACATCAAAGTATTTTGCTATTACATTTATACCTCCGTAAACGCAAATTGTATTTCAGACATGTGAATGAAGACAAGATGTGCTTGCGTCCATACCTAATTTCAGCTACAGTCAGTGACACGCATGATGTGTTGTAGGAGTGGGCCTGTACTGGGCTGAGCGACAGGCCAAGCTACAGCAGACCATTACCAACCCCACTGACAGGGAGATCGCAGCAACTATCTTGGCTGATCTACAGCATTCTCAAGAGGTGGAATTCCAGATAAAATTGTCGGATCTACACAATAAGGTAAATCATCGAAAGAACATAGGAAGATATGTTTTCGGTTTCAGTTTGACAAATTATCAGCAAGGACATTCATCACCTGATGTAGATACAAGACATGACTCATGGTATAATTAAAACGTACAGGCATTTCATAATTCAAACATCAAGGGGTTTTGAATTACCCAAAAGGTCTCATTACTGACCAAAATTATGTGTAAGAAAATGCTGGCTACTAACATGATACAGCTACATGCCAAGAGGCAGTCCTGGTGATAACACAATGATCAGCCATAGCAAGGGTCAAGGGAACATCTTCAAGGTGATGATGTAATAGAAAAAGGTCACAAATGACCTACCCAAAAGGCCAAGGTCACATGTCATTCATAGTTGAAAGCATTTGCCATTTATTGCCTGATAATATAAATTATGTATGTGACAGTTGTTTTGTTTGAAAACCTAAGTTGTGACTAGTAACAAGTGACACAGTCTCATGAAAGTAGCATGTGGTCATGTGACCTGTACAAGTAAGCAACTAGCCAAATTAACACTCAAGGTCATTCAGGTGCATACTGTGGTAGTGTGCAATTTAGTACATATTCATCCTTATGATGACCTCTGGAATACTTCTGTTTCTGGGGTTTATTCTTTGTATTGCCTTTCTGTGTACGAACCAACTCCATGTAAACTGTGTGTGTAAGACCTAGTCAATGTGATTGGCTGAATATGTGTATTGTATCACAAGTTCATATATCAATAGACAATGTATGGATACACAGGGAGTTGAGGACATTCCATACAACCCTCAAACTGTCCGACAGTGATTACCAATTTGTTACTATTTGGTTGATTATGCATCTACCAGTGCAAATAGTAAGAAGACAGAGGTTTATTTGATTGATTGAGTGAAGGCCCACTCAGCTTAGATCTGAAAGGAATACTCATGTAGAAGCAATTAGTAGTTTCCTAACATTGTATGATGACTTTGCACATATACAAAATGGCGAACACATTAAAAGACATTTTTCATGTCATCTAGACAGTGAAGGAACTTTGTCATATGGTGAGGAGAGAGAGTCGAAGTCAAGTGCTGGAACATTTTGACAACATAGCTTATGTAGTGCTTGGTGCAGTGGAGATTGGAGACAGTGAGAAGGAGTACATGGACGCGTTACAGGAGAAGTACACAGTTCTAGGTGATGCTGTGCTCCTGTTCTCCTTGACAGACCAGTACGGTGCAGAGTGGAACAGGTAAGTCAGGAGTGATACACCTGTAACACACTTGTTTCATATTTCAGGCATATTTATTATACTACCAAAACAGAAATGAGAATTGTTGTATTTCCTGAGTGATACTGTGGATAATACATGTATTCTTATGCAAGTTTATGCAAATCTGTCAATATGATTTGAACCACATCAACAGTGTCATTGGCATGATATGAGCAATACACTGGTGCATGTGACATCCACATATAATTCGGTATTTTGTAAAATCAGTATGACACTTATGCTTGTTTTTCAGTCTGTGTATATAAACTGGTGCCCTCCAGAGCACGAGACTCACATTTACTGTTGGTTTACTGGTTCCTGCCTCAAGGGGCAAATGCTGCTATGGGGACTGTGTGGTCTTCATGAGAGTACTGCATGACAGAGACACAGTAATGTTGTGGATCTAGGCTGAAAGATCAACAGATCTTGTTCTAGAAGTTTTCACATTTTGTTCAGGTTTTCTAACGATAGACAGCACAAGGAGCTTCAACGAGCCCAGAAAGAAGAAAAGGCCCTTAGGGGAGAAGGCAAACTAGAAGAAATGCACAGAATCATGGGTCCCAAATCCCAGGTATGCTAGAAGTGGGTCAATCTAAAATATTGCTATGTCAGTTACCAACAAATCAGTGTAAGACAAGAGGCCCAAGAAAATATAAACTATGTATCAAGGGAGAGAAATGTGAGAAAGGAGGCATGCTCTTTAACACATCCATTACATGTACCTCTTATTCCAGACACATCTTGTACTCAACATCTTTTTTCTGTTTCCAAGACCCTCCCCTCCCTGCAAACACTGATGGGATCACCTAAGCAGTTCACTGATGAGGCTGAAACAACTGGTAAAGTATTTCTCACACAAGGGTTTATCTAGTATCTAGATCTGCGGGTTTGTCAGAGGCTCGGAGGGGCATTGGGGTAGCCTAGTGGTTAAAGTGTTTGCTCGTCACACCGAAGACCTGGTTTCAATTCCCCACATGGGTACAATGTGTGAAGCCCATTTCTGGTGTCCCCCAACGTGATATTGCTGGAATATTGCTAAAAGCAGCATAAAACTCTCACTCACTCAGAGGCTCGGAATTGACTCTTCTTGCTAGTATCATGTTAAATCTGTATTCATAAGCATGGCTGTGAATGTTGATGATAATCTACTGCAGGAGCCTATCCCTTGGTATATGATGACAGTTAAAAAGGAGAAAAGTGTATACAGTGTATTATTTTATTAGTCTAACTGAAGTATAAATGAAAATGATTTTATTAAAAACTGAACTATCTTTTGGTTATATGTGGCAAGTGCCCAGTAAATGTAAATGTCATAGATTTAAAGGTCAGAGGTCGAAGTCATCTATCTGCCCACAACAATCTACCCACATTTGTTAGTTTTTTTAATTGAATAATAAAAATGTGGCCTTATAGTTGATTCATCCACTGTAATACAGTTCCAGCAATCAATCTTCTGGCTGATCTTGTCACTCGATATGACAGAGAGCAAGACAGTCTTCTCAGATGGCTGAAATCTCCTGCATCAAAGGACCTTACAGCAGCCAATCGGAGGCTACATTTGCTTTATCTTCATCTGGAAACATTATGTGCAAAGATGGAGACTGACCATGAGACAGTTCTGATGGCTACAGGTCTTCTGGAGAGAGTCTGTGCAGGTCACAGGTAGGTGCAGACACGTGCATGTCGTGATGTCTTTCAGAGAGTGTGGCATCAAGGAAATAGTGTATACAAGTACTGAAGTACAGGCGGTATTCATGACTGGTTAAGTAACTGTGATGGGATCCAAGGCTGAATTTGGTAGAATTCTCAATTTGACTAGCATTTTTGGCAACAAACTCACAGTAAACAACATTAATAAAATCATTCTGTATATTGCCACATATGAGGCATGTTTTTCATGCCTAGAAGTATTGGGATTTGAATGGGCAGATCCAGGACTTTTCAAAGAGGGGGTCGAACCCCCTGAACGCCCTCTCCCCTCGGCTCTGCATAGTCATTTTCAAGGGGGGTGGGGTTTTGAACCCCCTGACACACACACGCACGCACGCACACACACACTGGATCCGCGAATGACCTTATGCACAGTTGTCAGACACTATCGGCAAACAAAGTCTAAATAAACCTTGCTCAGATTACAATTGCCATACCAGCTAACGTAGTGAACAATAAACAGTCAGATTCAGATTCAGTTTATTCAGTAATTCTGGCCTTAAGGCCTACATTACAATTATTGTTGTTACAGAATAGTATGCAAGTCACGTGAACATATGGTTTCATACATGGTTACATTTATGGCTACGCACAGTAAAACATGTTTGAGATACATTGCTACAGACTTTATGGTCATAATATTCTTAGAATTTAACAAATTTGACAGTGAATGTTTATCTATAACAGTGTGTGAAAGAAATGGCATATACTTTTTTCGCAAACTTAGATACTGGGTGCATACAAACATGACATGGAACTCATCCTCTATAGCGCCTGTATTACAATTAGAACAGATCAAATCACTTTTACATTCTGTAGAAATACCATGTTTACGTGCCCTATTTACACAGAAATCATGAAAACCAATTCTTAATTTACATAAAGCTCTTATCAAAGATTTATCATGAAAATTTATAATATACAATTTTGGTTCTAGCAAAGACTTATAAGAGGCATAATATTCTAAATATCTACAAGTACTAATGGACATAGACCACTCTTGAATGAAAATATCACATAGGCGCTGTTTGAAAAGAGATATAAAACAGTCTTCATTGCCAACCCCTTGGGCAAGCCATACATAAGAAAATCCAGTAGAAAAGAGTAATAATCTAACATTAGACACCCAATTAACTTTACCAATATCATCTTGTGATTTCAAAAAAAGATAACACTGTTTAGGATACCTTAAGTAATGCATTTTTACCAACTTTAACCAATATTTAACTGCTCTTATTCTGCTGAACACAAACATATTACATCTACCAGTTTCTCCGTATATAGCCTTATTAGAAGCAAATTTACCTAGATTTAGAAAATGTTTGAAAAATAAACAGTCTCTGCCATAGGAGAGCCGGAAGTAAGCATCAGTGAAATCATCTCAACTTTTCCAATGTAATTTGACATTACAGTGAATTTATTGCATTTAAATCTTCACTACACTTCCATAAATACTGATGGGAACTATTTGTATATGGCCCATAAATATTGCATGTTTCCTAAACATTTAATTTTTCCTAATCCTGACTCATGCTTAATTGCTTGTCTCCTTCTTCTTGCGAATGATAGTGGAACACTTGAATCCCCTTTTGAAGCTCCCTTAAAAAAAGAGGACGTAAAATCACTCACCCAGTGTTACCTCCCTTAGGTATTTTGGCGGCAAAATCTGTCACATGACCAAACACGGTCTTCACTCTCTCCTTCTTCGCCCTAGAGGACGGTTGTGAGAGCGCCTGGGTCCCCTATACGGCACTATCCTTTTAATTTTAGGCCTTTACCACTATATTTAGCTGTATACGGCATTTATGAAGATATACCAGCAATATGGTTTGAAATTTTTGTCTAAATTATATGTTTATTCACGTTGTTGACATGATATTTCATCTTGTTTACAATTGATGAAAACTTGCATTCATTGCAGGTACCGGTTGTCTGCTGCTGATCCTCATCTATTATGTCCTAATTGCACTTCTACATGTTCTTCCAGCTTTCGCTGTAAACTTTGTCAGCATTTATCTGAAATTGAATTTAATAAATTTTTACTTATCCTGACTCATGATCTTTTGCTTATCTCCCTTTCCTTTCAGACTGGTAGTGGAACACTTGAATCCCTTGAAGTTCCCGAAGCGGCCATAAAAATACACTCACCCATGAGTTACCTCCCTTTTGCCCTTTTCCCGCGCAAACAAATATGTGACCAGCCTTACTTGTCACTCTCTCCCTTTTCGCCCAAGCGGATGGTTGGGCGAGCACTGGAGTCCCGTATACAGCATTATATCCTATTTATTTAGGTCCTATTCTTCAAAATTAAGCTGTATATGGATTTGGCAATAACTACTATGTATTATATGTAAAAAAATTGTAGAAATTGTCGTCTCTTTTTTTCATCGTTATGTAACTTTGTTTACATTTCATGAAATCTTGCAGTGTTTGCAAGCACAGGTTATCCATGGCTGATCCTCACCCCCAGTGCCCTTCGTGCATAAAACCATGTTCTTCCAGCTTGCGCGTTACTTATTGTGTTGATTTATCGAATCTTCAATTTAATCAATATTTGTGCCATGGATCGGGTGAGAAAGTCATCTCAAGTCACGGCTGATAAAACTGGAGATCAGCCCTCAAACCGTATGTTGCTTGCTACTGCTGAAGTTCATAATACTGGTGCGTTACAGGGGCAGTCTGCTAGTAAGGGGGCCAAGAAGTGATCGTCTACAACGCAGTTGACTCCGTCTCAGGCTAAGAAAAAGATGAAAAAGATGTCATCTTCTTCTACATCACAGAAGAAAGCATCTATTACCAGATCGGAGGGCAAATCTACGCGTGCTAGTAAATCAACGCAGCAGAAATCCTTCAATGAAGAGATATACCTCCACACGAAGTAGGCGTCTTTGATGACCCCCCTGTTACTTCTACCCAAAGTACCTATGAGATCAGCGACTCAATCGACCTCTACAACTACTAGATCGTCCCCTGCAATGGTCACAGCAGGCCAGCTGTTTGACGAACTACCACCTACTTCTCAACGGAGTGAAGTTGAGGCGCAGAACTCATCAGCGTTCGCGAACGCTTCGTCTACACCGCAGCAGCGTCAACCAATGCAGAACTTTGACCCGGGCGAATTTATGAATCAATTCACCAACCAGATGATGGCCATGATGGAACGTAGGTTCCAGGAAGAAGCGAAGGCTCAGGCGAAGCCTCTCAGCTACCGACATCGTGCGCAAACCTACGGACCTGCGCGAACCTACTCCTCATAGAACTATGTCTCAAGACTACGTTGGCGAACGTACACCTTTGCGAGGGTCTCCACAGTCGGACGACTCTGTCATCTTGGAAGAGGATAGAAGAGATGAGATGCCTACTCACAGTTCTACATCTGCGAACCCTCAACGTTTGAGAACATTGAAGGATCCATCTCCTACACCTAACCGCTCTAGGTCGAGATCTCATATCTCTCACAGACGTTTGCGTAGTCACTCATCACGAGACAGAGGTTCGCGAAGAGAGGGCTCACATCACAGAAGTTCGCGAAAGGTTACATCCAACAACAGACGTTTGCGAAGGGATAGCTCACCTCACAGGTTCGCAAAGAGATGTATCTACAGATAGAGGTTCGCGAAGAGAGCACTCTCAAGATAGACGTTCGCATAGGGAGGAATCTTCAGATAGAGGTTCGTGAAAGGATGATGAAGGTTCGAGAAGGGATACAGGTTCACAGATGGATGAGTCACAGAGACCTAGCACTAATATTCAGGAGACTTTGGACTTGCAAACAGACTTCGTCTTCCCAGACTCAGAGGTTACAGCGTGGATTGCCAACAGGTTGAACTTGGAGTCTCCTTCTAAAGATAAAGATTAAGTTTACACTTATAGGATGCGTAACGAAGACTTCGACTCCGTCACTATCCCTCCGATTGAACCTATATCCAAGGTTCCCTCTAACCTACGCACAGCTTTCGCGAAAGCATCCAAGTACCAGAGTCAGCACCTACCATCATTTAATGTGAAGAGATGCCCCTCTACATCATATGGATCCATTTACAAAGGCGCCTGAATGGGATGATAACATCAAGTTAGTCAATGACTCCCGAAACAAGATGTATAAAGTGGAAGACAAAAAGTTATCTCAACTTGATACTGCTACAAGCAGATCCTTCTTCGGGTTGGCCAGGTCCAGAGCCATCAATGAAGCATTGATCAACAAATTCCAGAACTCAAGTTCGGAAGAGGATAGAATGATATATTCGGCCCTCATAACACAGATGGGTACAATGTGTGAAGCCCATTTCTGGTGCCCCCTGCTGTGATGTTGCTGGAATATTCCTAAAAGCGGCGTAAACCAAAATCAGTCAGTCAGTCATAACACAGAAGAAGGACCAATACTTTTTATCGGACCATCTGGCATCTATATCTGCAGGTCTCACTTTACTATGAAGACAAGGGCTACTTGCATCCTGTTCATGGAATGATAGATTCACCCAACCGCTACTGAGAGCTCCATGGGAGGCGCCTACTATCTTTGGAGGACAAATAGAGGATGCAGCTAAGGAAGCTACACACGACTCTAGAGAAGTAATGATGATAAAATCCATAGATACTCTGGCTAACGTCATCCGTCATACTTCCCAAAAGTATAACAGCAAGTCCAAATATTCCGGCATACAGAAGGCAAAGGACAAGAAGTACCCCAGCTTCAAGGCGGCAAAGGATCTTTTCTTCGCCCATCCGGAAATTACAGAGGAAACTCAGGGAGAGGCCGCACTCAGGTAGATAGACGTTGATATCAAGGTTCGGGAACGACTGGAGTCTTCCACCCCCAGCCGTTCCTGTAAAACTGTCAACAGTGGGTGGACGTCTACAAAGGTACTGGAAGAATTGGGGAATACTAGAGGACGACTACGTCTCCCAAGTACTAAGAGAAGGATACAAAGTACAACTCAAGGCCACACCTCCGCTAACCCTCAGCCCGATGGTCTTCAACTGTGCAGAGGAACAGGCAGACAAACTACAAGAAGCCATCGACTCACTACTGATGAAGGAGGCAGTAGAGATAATATATCAGCATCATCTCACTCCAGGCTTCTATTCACCAATTTTTCTAGTACCCAAGAAGAACTCCAAGGAGAAGTTCAGACTGATTTACAACATGCACAAATTCAACAAAGACTATCTACTGAAACCAGAGAGGTTCAGAATGATCCAACTACCTCAACTCAGACTACTCATCCATCCAGCAGATTACATGGCCCGCATAGACCTACAGGATGCGTATCTACACATCCCTATACATCCGGAATCAAGAAAGTATCTACGATTCCTATTCAGAGGGTAGCACTTCCAATGGAAAGTCCTACCGTTTGGAATATCTTCGGCTCTCCGTGGCTATTCACACGAGTAACCAAGCCTATAGTCGCATATCTACATCATCGAGGTCTACGCAATGCTTTCTACTTGGATGATGGAATTCAGGTTCACCAAGATGCCAGTCAACTCAAACTACAGCTGAACTTCACAATCAAGTTGCTCACTCAACTAGGATGGCTGGTGAACCTTATGAAGTCAAAGTTGGAACCAAAACAAGATCTGCAATTTCTGGGGATAAGGTTTATCACAACGTATTGTCGTCCCAGAAGATCGTTGGGTCAAGATACAAGAAATGATTCCACCAGCAGTCATCTCTCCGTTAACACTACGATCATGGCAAGTTATACTTGGTCTACTAACCTCAGTGCAGGACTTGACTCGCACAGGACGGTTTTACAACTAAGACCGCTGCAACGGCTCCTGACAAAACATCTAGACAGCGTCGACCCTATCTTGCTGCCAGACAACCTCAAGAGGTATCTACTGTGGTGGACACACAGGTCGAACGTTTGGGGAGGGACCTATTTACAAGAGCCGGCCTTCGACACACATCTCTACGCAGACGCCTCGATGCAGGGTTGGGATGCGCATCTCAACAATCAAGTTTTGTCAGGAAGGTGGTCCAAAATAGAGCAGCATCTTCACTTCAATCTGCTGGAGATGAAAGCCGTGATCAACGCCTTACAACTATGGTCGAGCTCGCTGAACAACAAAATGCTGATGGTCAACACGGACAACTCTACAGTGGCATTCTCCATAAATCGGCAAGGATCCACAAGGTCTCCAAGCCTGCTACAGCTCACATTCCAGTTGTTCCACATCACGCAGGAAGCAAGGAAGCAAAGGCATGTCACATACCCAGAGCCAAGAACGTACTTGCAGATGCTCTCTCCCGACCACTGCACCCATCACCTACGGAATGGATGCTCCATCCAGAAGCATTCCGGCTCATCATAAGAGAAATAGGATCCCCTTGCATAGACCTGTTTGCCATGAGGTTCAACAAACAACTAGAGACGTTTGCCTCACCAGTTCCAGATCCTCAAGCCTGGGCAACAGATGCACTGAGCATATCATGGGAAGGACTAAACGCCTACTCGTTTCCACCCCCAATATTACTTCCAGAAATACTGTTGTAGATCAAACAGACACAGGTGCTACAACTGACTTTGGTCGCGCCCTACTGGCCAGCGAGAGGTATGGTTCCTAGACTTAATAGAAGATCTCGGAAGTCCAACAATCAAGTTACCAGATTGGCCGAAGCTACTCATATATCCGCACACCCAGCAAGTCCACGGAAACCCAACAGTGTTCCAGCTACACATGTGGACCGTATCAAAACATGTTTGAAGAAAAGAGGATACTCCGCCAGGGCAGCCAAGGCATTAACGCTAGCGTTACGCAGATCTACTCGTAACCTGTATGATGACAAATAGATGAAGTTTGAGACTTATGCAAGGCGGAAAGGCTTCACTGCGATGAAAGCTACTCATCCTCAAGCGGCGGAATATCTGTGTCATCTTAGACAGACCAGACATCTGAAGAGTTCGACATTATCTACATACCTCGCCGACATCAGTACAGTGATTACCATGAAAACAGGCATCAAGTTGACGAAAGTACCAGAATTACTTGCTCTGCTGAGATCTTTTAAACTGGAGGACCAGCCTGGGATCTGAATGTAATTCTACGTCATCTTACCAGTGATGTCTACGAACCACTAGACCAGACTACCCTCGAGCTGCTGACACAGAAGACTCTGTTCCTGCTTGCGCTAGCCACAGCAGCTCAAATATCAGAGATACATGTGCTGGACTTTGGTCGAACCAGATTCGACAGTGGGCAACATGCTGCAGTTCATCTAGGACTTAGATGGGACTTCATTGCCAAGAACCAACTACCTGGTCAGCCAGATAGACAGTTCCACGTACCAGCGCTATCTACAATCCTCGGCCCGCAGGATATAGAGGACCTATCCTTGTGTCCGGTCAGAGCCCTGAAGATATATCTTCAAAAGACTGAGACAAGGAGACAAAAATTCAAGCGCCTGTTCATCCCATTATCAACAGAGACATCAGCAGAAGTCTCAAGAACGACCATAGCAGCAGGACTTGAGCTTCCACGTGCCTCCAACCCTCATGAAGTCAGAGCACTGGCATTGACACTCGCTCTGCATGGAAACTGCTCCATCTCGACAATAATGGAGGGCTGCATTTGGAAGTCAGAGACGGTGTTTGCCAACCACTACCTCAGAGACATTGCTACCGAGGACGTCTCCGGCATTCACCAGTTTGGGCCTCTCGTTGTAGCACAGCAACTAACGGTTCCTCAAAGGGGCTGAGTTGGAAAATCTCACCCTTTATCACATTGACTTGTTGATAACTTTACTAAAGAAAAAGTATTAGTTTGAAAGTCCATGCGCACAGTCTAGCACAGGCTAGCATGAATGATTAAGGATCCTGTACGGGTAAAGATCTTACCTGTAAGTGAAGGGGTCGCAACTCATTTAGCACAACAATTGACGGTTCCTCAAAGGCGCTGAGATGAATCTCACCCTTTTATCACGTGACTTCTAAAAGCCAATGCTCTGAATAGCTAGAGCTTTAGAGTCCATGCGCACGTCTAGGACAGACCAGCATGAGTGACGGACCCTGTACTTCTAAAGGACTTACTCGTACATGAAGAAGGGTCGCTTCTCCACTTGATGCAAGCATCAAGACATGGAGTTGCATAAATCCACACATAATGTCAGGAGAAATCTGACAAGTTGTGGTCCCCCCCAGACTCATCAGAGGAAGCTGGAAGAAAGGATCAGCACAGTGCCATAAGAAGTTCCCTCGGGGGGGTATGCAGGACGTAAATCAGCAAGCTATGAATCCAGAGTGGCTTGACCCACCACCAGTTCCGTTGGATTCTACAAGCAATTAAGCATGAGTCAGGATAAGGAAAAATATGTAATTTTTTTATTAAAATTGATCTTTTATACTTATCCTGACTCATGAGGTCAGCCCTCCCAACCTCCCCCCATGACACTCTGGATTCCCTGTAATCCGGGTGTCGGGCTCATATTCGGAGAGAGTGAAGAGCATGTTTGGTCATGTGACAGATTTTGCCGCCAAAATACCTAAGGGAGGTAACACTGGGTGAGTGATTTTACGTCCGCTTTTTTTAAGGGAGCTTCAAAAGGGGATTCAAGTGTTCCACTATCATTCGCAAGAAGAAGGAGACAAGCAATTAAGCATGAGTCAGGATAAGTATAAAATAATAATTTTAATCAAAAAAATTACATACTGGTATGTTTTTAGATGTGAGACTGACCAGGAACGACAACATGATCTAGCTGCCAGACGAGTACAGCTTCGCAGGGAGCATGTTCAGAAGGGTCAAGTCAGACAAGGCAGACAAGGCAGATCTAGAACTCCAACAGGTATTTGTAATAATTGGATGCATCTAATTTCTCCAACAGGTACACTGCCAATGTGTAGACGTATGGACTATGTGTGGTAATTAATACATATATGATTATGTTAGCAGGCATAATAAGGAATTATTCTGTTGGCTAAACTAAACAGGCTAAATGTTGTATTAGTTCCTTGTTTGTAAAACACCAACTTTGCAGTACAGACTTGTATCCCATTTCAGGTGATGTGTGTGTGTGGAGAGAGGCGTATGTCCAGGAAGTTTATTACCGCCACTGTGAGGAGCGAGAACGACTGCTGTCCCTGCTTCAAGATGAATCTCTCCGAGAACTGACTGAGGTTGCCGCAAACATGCCAAGAAGCGAGAGGGTGGAGAGACTAGCCCAGCTCCGAGTCAAGAAAGCCAAACTAGACTTACAGCATGCAGGTAACCAGGTCACATGAACCCTCCACGCTCCAGGGCATATCATCAGCCCATTACTTCAAAACCTGACACACTTTTGTTGTTTTTACGTCATGCTCCACCATCTATAAAGGTTTTCTGTGATGTCCCTTTACTGTCAACTTTTTGCTGAATTGTGTTTTTTCCATAGACATCAACCTCCTTCCCCTCCTTAACTATGTAATGTCTGGAAAGGTTGCTTTTCTGTTATTTTTAACAACCTGTGAAACTTCTGTTCATCTTGTAGGCATAAGAGAAGTTTTTACCATACTTTCTTGTTCCCACTGCTCAGTTCATCTGATTTGCAACCATTAAATCTCCCATGGTTTACCCTATATTGTTTGTGCACCTAGCTGACCTGCAGGACGAGTATACAGACCTCCTGGAAGAAGCTGCAGTACTACAGACAGTATGCAGAGCTGAAACACTCACAATGACGCACGGCCGGTCAGTCTTACCACACCAGGTTACTGCTGCCGTTCTTGTCAGTCTTCAGGTTCTGCAAGACACTGAGATGGCTGACCTTCTGCTGAGTCTGCCTCATCAGGTAACTGGGGGGGACTAACTTGCACCTTGAGTCACAGTTAGATAACAGCATGATAACAACCAAACAGTCTTGAAACAGAAATGGAGAAACTGCTGTGTTCTGATCATGTGTGTCTGTACAGTGCATCAATGCCTTTTTGTCATCTCATCATTACCTACACAATCAAACAGCTGTATTGACTTTGTTAGCCTTTTCTTTCTGGGATTCAATCCCATACCACTCAACCCAAAATGTACCTGTTCTTCCTCCCTGCCTCTGGTCACAGACTGAAGTTATCTACCCCTGACCTCTTCACTTCTTTCTCATCCCTCACAATGATAGCCACATATATTTACATTCTGCAAATATCCAGAATGTTTTCTCTTTGCGCATTCATTGTGCAGACACACAGGGATTCTACTTGCTGACTACTTCTGTTTCATTAAACAGCAAAATAATGGTAACATATGTACCTATGTGGCAGACATTAATTTAGTACAATGCAGTAAATATCACAGTTAAGGACTTCAAGATAAGAAGGTATTCAGGGTGGTATTAAATCTGTTGAAGGTAGTCAGAGGCATTGTCACGTCTGTTGAGAGCACTTTGGCACTATTTGGAAGTGATAGGAAGCACGACAAGAACTTATATGAGTGGACTAAGCATTGCAATGTATTGTGGCATGATGAGATATATACCTGAATTTCGATAGCAGGATGTGAGTATACTTATCCTGGCAGTATGGCTTATGATCATGCTAAACACTGCTGAGAATGTGGTGAAGGATTCAGGGACAGATAACTCCTGTTGGTAGCCAAGGGCTCCCCAGAAGATTAACAGGCACATTTTGGGTTCTGTGTTATAGTATACAAGTCCAGAAGAAAATTACAATGTGTTGTGTCAGGATAAGTCATACTATAAACATCCAAATGCATTTAGTTTTGAATATTATGTAATTGCTTGATGTTTGAAGGTAATCACTGTGTTTCCCATGTGTGAGAGTTGGTACAGGTGATGATGTATGTTGTGTACAGTGTGAGGAGGAGCTGACAAGGCTGTGGCATGGGGAGAGTGACATCAGACAACAGAAGACCACATGGAATGTGTACAATGTGCTCACAGCCTATGAGGGAGAAGCAGATGACAAACTTGTGCTGGAGGTAAGACAAACTTGTGTTTTGGAAACAGATTTAGTTGTAAATAATGACTTTGAATGGTGTTAACCATGAGCTCCTAGGGACAGAAACATATATATGGAGCCAGGTGGTAGGGGTTCAGGTACATAGACTGGGCTGCTCTGTCCACATTCCACCTTGCGCCTGCCTGGGATCCTGTCTATCCATACAAGGAACAGGTTGTTGATATTACACAAAATACTACCATGGACTTCCTGTAAAATGTGTTTAACGGTAACTCTTTTGTCATGAGTGTCAAAGGTCAAGGTCATAACTATGAAAGATGAAAAAATGGTCTCTTATTACTATCTCAAACAAGTTAATGCAGCTTGTGAAGGAAGCAATGATAATATGCTCATCAAATGTCAACATGAGAAGGTTGTCAGTTGTGCTATACTCAAAGCCATTTTGTACGGCCTGGACTTGTTATTGTCAACTTTTGCTGCATGGTTACAGGTATGAAGGTAGATATTGGTAGTGAATCCTGGTTATTGTTCACCTACTACAATCCCATGTCTTGATTGCATTGGGGTCACTTTTTGATATTCAGGTGTTCCAGCACAACAAATATCTATCTGACAAAAATGTTAGACATATGAGGACTATTTGAAGATTAAAAACTCTACATTCACACATTCAATCCATGGCATCTTCAGTCTACACCATTGCTACCTACCCTGGCTGTTACTGTCTAATCTCAGTTATCCCTTTTACATAAATGAAGATATTCCTATTCAACATTTCAGGAAAGTGTGCATTGGATCTTGTTTATATAGCATTCTCAAGAAATACCCAATCACTACACCTGCCATCATGCAGCTGAAATACCCAATCACTACACCTGCCATCATGCAGCTGAAATACAGGTCAAGCAGTAGTATGGAACAGATCTATTTTCATAATAATGCACACACAACTTCCATTGTTTATTCAATGTACCAAAAGTCAAGTTTATGATTTGGATGGGTATATTTTACGGCCGCCTCCCAGGTGCCCATGAGTATGCCTATATTAACATGAACAACATAAGTACCTGCTTGTCTGTTCCATTCACGTATGATGAGTTGATGGCGGGTAGTGGGGTACATGCTGTCATCCTAGAATGCTTTGCTTTCAGATGCTAGATGCCAAATACTCAGTGTTGAGAGAACAACTTCTGTCGTCTGCAATTGATGGCGGAACAACCACCAAGGCCCACAACACAGACCTACAGGCGCTCAAGGCAAAGGAACAAGCACTGTGGAAGAAAGGTTCATTATTTACCCTATGAATGTCCTATAGGACTGTGAGACCAGATGATAGCTAATCGTGTCAAATGGCACATCATAGTCTGCTTAGCAAATTTTAGCCCCAAGCCGAATTAATTGGAAGAGAAAAACAACATGAACATAAAGAATTTCTGGATTTCATCTTCTTTATATTCTTTGATACAATGTGTTGGAGCCTGTTGTGGCCCAATCTTCAGGTAAAACTAATAAACAGGACCCGAAAAGTTGTATCAAAGAATAAAAAGAAGATGAAATCCAGAAAATTCTTTATGTTCATCAAATAGCATCTTCTAAAATGCCAATCAAGCATCTAGAAAAACAACAGTTTGGAAAATAGTGTTCTCTCCTATTGATGGACATTTGATAAAACAGTTTGAAATTTCCAAGTGATGAACTGCCCTCGTTTATTTTTTGTATTGTATTAAATTATTAATTTACAAATTTCATTTGTCTAGAAAATGTATCATTTTTTATAATTTTGTTCAGTGATTGCATTTGAAACCATATGTTTTCCATTTGTCTTCAAACCTTTTAGAAGCATGTCCTGAATGTCCACAGATATGGATATAGATATAGATTTTCATGCACATTTGGCAACAACATCCTGAATGTTTTTAGACTTCGGGACAAAAAACATTTATGAAATGTGGGTTTCAAGCATGAATTATATGTTCACATTTCTGGTCATCTTGAACTCTGACTGCAGCTGTACAGACAGTTTGTAGCTCTGTTCATCATGATGAACAGAGACAAACTCTGAATAAAGGGGACACAAGATATTCTGAAACTATTTGCAACTGTGTACTGCTGATGTAGTGGTATTATATTGATGAGGAGGGCTTGTTTGACTTACTTGTAGCCTTCTGTAGTTGATGCAGTTGCCTATTTAAAGTGTCAGTTTCTGATAACTGACTATATACAAGTGTGTTGTCAGTACGTGGATGTTATAGCATCAGGACTAAAGTAATGCTGTTACTGGTCCAACAAATATAGCTAGTGACTAATGTTGTTTGTGCAGGTGATGTGGCTGGACTGGACCAACTACTCACTTTGACACTGAGTGAGGGTTTGTCTGGCTTGATGGGACTTGACAGACAACAGTTTCACAATAAAATTTCTTCAATCAGAGCAGGTATTTCGGACAGTTCTCTTCAATTTCTCATTGTCAGATGCAGAATTGGGTAGCAGGAAAGAATTGTTTTGTCAACATTTGAAGGTTTTAAGGTTATAGGTAGAATTCCCCTGACAAAATACTGAAGTGAATAGTTTCTAGTCAGAACATTCTCAGTACATTTGTCCAGCCCCCAGTCCAGGTAACAATTTGTCATGACCTCCAATACATTTTTTATGACCCTCCATCATTAAACAAACCTCTTTCGTAGTGTCAATTTATCATGTATATCCTGAAATATCAATGGTCTGTGCATCCTTTAATAAATTGCCAATCCCTAACTAAAAGTCAAATTGGAGCAGTAGGTATTCCTGTATGCAGGCCAGAATGTTCCATGTTTCCAGAAGCAGGTAATGTGGTGATGATAGAAGAGGATCCCAGCAGTACCTCAACAGTGTCTGACCTGCTGACCCGTTACACGCAGGAGAGGATGTACATCACAAGTGTTCTGCAAGGTAGGCATGACAACAACACTGTCAACTCTAATGCAGTCTCAGACACAAGTTCACCTCCTCTCCCCTGATTCTAGCTGTTTTTCAAACCAGGCCTATTAAAGTGTTTGTGACTGCTTGTTGTTGTCAGGCAAGACAGGAGAATGTATGACATTACCACACAGAATAACCCTGCTGGCCAGACTATACAGAGAACTGAACGTTGTACTGGACACTGGACAATCTGGGGCATTTGAGACAGCTGCCATCTCTGTTGGCCTGGCGGAAAGACAAGACAAAACTCAGTATCGGTAAGTTCATGTCGGCAAACTTTTCACACTTTCAGTTTTCAGAACTGTGGGATAGATTGTGTTGAAACTTCATATGTATTCTTGACCAGAATTCAGTCTTCAAGACCGAGAGGGCCAAGTACTAAGAGAGTGTTGGAGAGATGCTTCTGGTTCTTATTTTTATAGCATCATTTTCAGAAAACAAATAAGACATTTGTTTCCATCTAAGTGAAACTCTTGACAATGACTTCCATGTCCTTTTAAGATCATGATGAGCTCACCTGCAATGTTTGCTTTATACCAGATATATTCTCAGCTGACTATTTGTTTCAATGGTAAATAACAGCTAGATGCAACTCGACTGACTGTTTCCCTCTGTAGGTGATCTTAGATCAGAAATAATATAAAAATGTATCTTATGACACGGAAATGAAGGTGTAAATATAAATATTATGGGTTCTCAAGTGATGACCTTCAATGAGTTGATATATAGAGATTATTAACCTTGTGTGTTTCAGTATCATTAATATCATATATTAGGAATAAAAATTGTATTATGCGAGCATTTGGCTAGCATAATACATAATTTTTCCTTATCCTGATTCATGATCTTTTGCTTATCTCCCTTTCCCTTTCGAATGGCAGTGGAACACTTGAATCCCTTGAAGTTCCCGACGCGGACGTATAAATACACTCACCCACGAGTTACCTCCCTTTACCCTTTCCCGCGCAAACCAGTCATGTGATCTTCCTTACTTGTCACTCTCTATCTTTTCGCCCAAGCGGATAGTTGAGCACTGGAGTCCCGTATACGGCATCACCTACTTTTTATTTAGGCCTATTCTTCAAAATTACACTGTATATGGATTTGGCTATAACTACTATGTAGTATTTGTAAAATTTTGTAAATATTTATTGACTTTGAGTCGTAAATTCATCGTCATGTAACGTTGTTTACGTCCATGAAATCCTGCATTGTTTGCAGGCACAGGTTATCCTTGGCTGATCCTCATCCCCAATGTGCTTCGTGAATAAATCCATGTTCCTCCAGCTTGCGCTGTAGTTATTGGATTGATTTATCAAATCCTCAATTAATCAATATTTGTCTTATATCTATAGACGTGCCATGGATCGTGTGAGAAAGTCACGATTGATAAAAACTGCAGATCAGCCTTCAAACCGTATATTGCATACAGGGGCAGTCTGCTGGTAAAGGGGTCAGGAAGAGATCGTCTACATCTCAGTCGACTCCGTCTGAGACTAACAAAAAGATGTCATCCTCTTCTACAACGCAGAAGAAGTCAGCTGTTACCAGACGGATGGCAAATTTACGTGTGCTAGTTCATCTACGCACCAGGAATCCTTCAACGAAGAGATTGTACCTCCTCACGTACTTGACGTTTTTTGACGGACCCCCTTTACTTCTTCCTGAAGTATCTATGAGATCAACGACTCTGTCGACCTCTACTACTACGAGATAGTCCTCTACTACAGTCACAGCAGGAAAGCTGTTGACGTACTACCTCTTACTTCTCGGAGTGAAGTTGAGGCACATAACTCATCAGCGTTCGTGAATGCTTCATCTACACCGTAGCAGCGTCAACCTATGCAGAACTTCGATGATGTCCATGATGGAACGTAGATTCCAGAAGGAATCGAAGGCTAAGAAAAGCCTCTCATCTACCGAAACCGTGCGCAAACCTAAGGATAGGTGCAAACCCATGGGCCTGCGCAAATCTACTCCTCTTGGATCTACACCTCAAGGCTACGTTGGAGAACGTACACCTTTACGAAGGTCTCCACATTCGGACGACTCTGTCATCTTGGAGGATGATAGAGATGTATTACCTACTCTGTCTACGTCTGCGAACCCTCAACGTTCGAGAACATTGAAGGATCCTACTCCTACACATAGTCTCTCTAGATCGAGATCTCATATTTCGCACAGACGTTCTCGAAGCTACTCACCTCAAGCCAGAGGTTTGTGAAGAGATAGCTCACCTCACAAGGTTTGCCAAGCGATGTATCCACAGATATAGGTTTGCGGACAGAACACTCTCAAGACAGATGTTCGCATAGGGAGGAATCTTCAGATAGAGGTTCGCGAAACGAGGATGAAGGTTCAAGAAGGGAAACAAGTTCGCAGATGGATGAACTGTTGAGACCTAGCTCTAATAATATGGAGACTATGGACCTCGTCTTCCCAGACTCATAAGTTACAGCATGGATTGCTAACGCACATCCTTGAGAAAGCTACAGACATCTACAAGGTTCGAGAACTCTCAGATCTACAGGCAGATAACAGCAACGTAGACATCTACAGTGTTCGCAAACCCTTACATCAACAGGCAGGATGTTGACATCGACTCTATTACCATACGGCTGAATAAAACGAAGCAGTGATGGAAACGGATGCTGAGGTCTTATACCAGGTATCAGATGGCCTGCGGATATTGTCGTTCACTCACTCACTCCAACCCAACAGAGACGTACTGCATATACGCTGATGACTTTGACTACAATATGATATCACTTATGAAGCCGATATCTCAAGTATTGGAGAACCTTAAGACGACCTTTAGAAAGGGCTTAAGGTTAACATCGCCTTCAAGTATACTTGAACGGACGTACAGATGATTGTATTAACACTCGTCACTCAGCGTGGGGATTAGGAATTATATCTTATCAACTAGATCCATACAGACATACGTCTCGACAGCCTCCTTCGTCATGCTGGGAATAAGTGATTCATATCACTAAACAAGATTTACACTTGGAGCAACCCTTAGCCAGGAGGTTTATATGAGCGGCGTAGGATTACGCACGCTTTTACTCACAGAATTTATGGAGGCCAACTGGCTACAACACTGGTGACGTCATGCTTGAAGCTGATTGGTCCACGTCAGACAACGCCTCCCACTGACAGAGCAGGCTCCAGCATGTTTTCTGATTGTAAACAAACCTGTGGTACGTCGGAATACTTCATCGGCAGCCTTGGAAACAGTATACAACTACGGCCTGTTATCATCATGGGAGTCTAATAGATGTCTAGCCTTGACAGCAGGATAAACGATGTTTATTTTGGAAGTTGTAGCTGATAAAAGTCGGTATGAGTACCTGTCCCATGCGATGCTACACGGAAGCCAGCCTTGCTATAAATAGACAACGCTTCGATGTCAACACAGATCGCCTGCGTATATAAGGGGAAGAATGATGTATCATCACTGCAATCAGAGGTTAGCACTTCCAATGGAACGTCCTATTGTATCGTAGGCTCTATGATTATTCATACTAATAACCAAGCCTATTGGCACCTATCTACAACATCGAGGTCTACGCAATGCCGGTTATCCGGAGGACGGAATACAGGTTCTTCAAAGTGCCAGTCAGCTCAGAGAGCAGCTGAACTTCTCAATTAAAAGTTGTTCACGCAACTAGGATGGCTAGTGAACCTGATGGAAATTGGAGTTGGAATCAATCAAGGTCTTCAATTGCTGGGAATAAGAATTATCACAATACAGGATTGAATTATGGTCCCAGAAGATCATTGGGTCAAGATACAAGCTATGATTCAACAAGCAGTCATCTCTCCGTTAACACTACGAACATGGCAATGTCTACTTGGTCTACTAACCTCGGCGCAGGACTTGACTCGTACAGGAAGGTTACAGCTAAGACCGCTGCAACGGTTCCTTATAAAACATTTAGACAGCGTCGACCCTATCTTGCTGCCGGAAAACCTCAGGAGATATCTACTGTGGTGGACACACAGGTCGAACGTTTGCGAAGGGACTTATTTACAAGAGCCGGCCTTAGACACGCATCTCTACGCAGATGCCTCGATGCAAGGATGGGGTGTGCATCTCAATGATCAAGTGGCGTCGGGAAAGTGGTCCAAATAGAACAGCAGCTGTACATCAATTTGCTAGAGATGAAAGCAGTGATCAACGCCTTACAACTATGGTCGAGCTTGCTGAACAACAAAATGTTGATGATACACACGGACAACTCTACAGTAGCATTCTCCATAAACTGGCAAGGAACCACAAGGTCTCCAACCCTTTTTGCAGCTGACATTCCAGTTGTTCCAGATAACACAGGAAGCAAACGTATGGATAAAGGCGTGTCACTTACCCGGAGCCAAGAACGTACTTGCAGACGCTCTCTCAAGACCACTACATCCGTCACCTACAGAATGGATGCTTGATCCAGAAGCATTTCGGAACATAGGATCCACTTGCATAGACCTGTTGCCACAAGGTTCAACAAACAACTAGAGACATTTGTCTCGCCAGTTCCAGATCCTCAAGCTTGGGCAGCAGATGCACTGAGCATGTTGTGGGAAGGATTAAACGGCTACGCTTTTCCACCCCCGATAGTACTGCCAAAAGTACTGTTCAAGATTAAACAGACTCAGACGCTACAACTGACCTTGGTCGCGCCTTACTCGCCAGCGAGAGCATGGTTCCCAGACCTAATAGGAGATCTCGGGAAACCCAGTAATGAAATTACCAGATTGTCCAAACCTACTAATACATCCGCACACCCAGCAAGTCCACAGAAGCCCAACAGTGTTCCAGTTACACGTGTGGACAGTATCAAAACATGATTGAAGAAAAGAGGATACTCCGCCAGGGCAGCCAAAGCAGTAACGCTAGCGATACGCAGATCGACTCGTAACCTATATGACGACAAATGGCTAAAGTTTGAGACTTCTGCAAGGCGGAAAGGCTTCACTGCGATGATAGCCACTCATCCTCAAGTTGCGGAATATCTGTGTCATCTTAGACAGACCAGACATCTGAAGAGTTCGACACTATCTACATACCTCACTGCAATCAGTACAGTGATTACTATGAAAACAGGCATCAAGTTGACGAAAGTACCAGAATTACTTGCTCTGCTGAGATCTTTTAAGCTGGAGGACCAGCAAAAGAAATTCAGAGCTCCAGCCTGGGATCTAAATGTAATTCTGCGTCATCTTACGAGTGATGTCTACGAACCACTAGATCAGATTACACTTGAGCTGCTAACACAGAAAACGCTGTTCCTGCTTGCGTTAGCCACAGCAGCTCGCGTATCGGAGATACATGCGCTGGACTTTGGTCGAACTACATTCGACAGAGGGCAACATAAAGCAGTTCATCTAGGACTTAGATGGGACCTTTATTGCCAAGAACCAGCTACCTGGTCAACCAGATAGACAGTTCCATGTGCCAGCACTGTCTACAGTCCTTGGTCCACAGGATATAGAGGACTTATCCTGAAGATATATATTCAAAAGACTGAGACGAGGAGACAAAAAATTCAAGCGCCTGTTCATCCCATTATCAACAGAGACTTCTGCTGAAACGACCATATCGTTCTGGATGAGAGCCTATAAAGCAGCAGGACTAGAACCTCCTAGAGCTTCCAACCCACACGAAGTCAGAGCACTAGTGTCTACACTAGCTCTGCATGGAAATTGCTCTATATCAACAATTATGGAGGGCTGCTTTTGGAAGTCAGACACAGTGTTTGCCAACCACTACCTCCGAGACATAGCCACTGAAGACGTCTCAGGCATTCACCAATTTGGGCCTCTCGTTGTAGCACAGCAACTAACGGTTCCGCAAAGGGCGCTGAGTTGGAAAATCTCACCCTTTATCACGTTGACTTGTAGATAACTTTTACTAAGGAAAAGTACTAGTTTGAAAGTCCATGCGCACAGTCTAGCACAGGCTAGCAAGGGTGATTAAAGATCCTGTACGGGTAAAGATCTTACCTGTACGTGAAGGGGTCGCAACTCATTTATGATAAAGATCTTATCATAATCTATGGGTTGATATAAGATATCTAGTAATAGGAGAATACTAGTTTATCGGTAGCCACAAAGGTTCATCAAAGGACTGAATTGGAAAATCTCACCCTTTATCACGTTGACTTGTTGATAACTTTTACTAAGGAAAAAAGTATTAGTTTGAAAGTCCATGCGCACAGTCTAGGACAGGCTAGCATGAGTGAATAAAAGATCCTGTACGGGTAAATATCTTACCTCTACGTGAAGGGGTCGCAACTCATTTATGATAAACATCTTATCATAATCTATGGGTTGTTATAAGGAAGATACTAGTTTATCTATAGCCACATGAATCAACATGATTCAGCTTGTCTGAGATTGAAGTAAGACAAGAAAGTGGTCCCCCCGAGTAACGGAAGTTGGAAGAATAGGATCACGGAAATGCCGTTTCGCAGTTACCATGGGGGGGATACAGGACGTATCTAAGGACAGCTGTTGAATCCACAAAGTGGCTTGGCCCACCACCAATCTGTCGGATTCTATAAGCAAAAGATCATGAGTCAGGATAAGGAAGACGAAGAAGCCCTCCCAACCTCCCTGTTGAAGACACTTGAGATTTCACAGCAGATCCAAGTGCATGTGCAGAAAATCAGGAGAGAGTGACAAGTAAGGAAGGTCACATGACTGGTTTGCGCGGGAAAGGGCAAAGGGAGGTAACTCGTGGGTGAGTGTATTTATACGTTATATATATAATACAGTGCAAACATAACTCATGCCTAAAATAATATCTTTCAGTCTAATATTGATCAGCAAAACCAGGCAGGGTTTTCTTGGCGATGTTTCTATATTTAATGCGTGTAATCACCTCATCAATATCAGTTTCTGATACCTGACAGAATCGATTTGTCGTCTTCTTTGTTGTGATCGATAGATAGAAATCCTTGGTTGGTACCTTTCTTAGATCACTCATGCCACATAATCGGTACCTTCAATTTGAACGGAGTTGTCCGTTTCATGTTTTCCAAAGTCAATTACTGGAGTAACGACTCCAGAATCTCTATCAACAATTCTTACAGAATCACCAATTTTGATAATGGGGGCAGCCATGTTTGTTTACAAACTCGTCTACTCAATGTATACTTGCGACGACGTCATCAATGAAATGTTAAATGTTTTAGGATTCGCATGCCGTGTATGGAGTTTTGAGAAAGTAGTTCGTGGATTGAAGTAATTTGCATAGCTATCAGATTTGGATAACAAGTTTATCAGATTGCTTTATTGCACCGATAACACCCTCCATTAGATGATAATTTTTTTTATGCCATCATATTGCCTGAGAACTAAATCATCTACTTTCACAACCTTTCACTTATAGGCAAGAGTTAAAAAAAACTTTGTGTGATCTGATCTTTGATTAGCGTCTTTCCACCAGCAAGTAGTGATTTGTTATGTCAGAAGTCCAGTTTTAAATTTAATATTAACCCTACATTTTCAGATTAAGAAATGAGAGAAATCGCTACATCAGCTTTGCAAGCCATGTATGGAATACTTGTTCTGACAAATCTTCAAGGCCGAGTGATAAACAGCCATATATGTCCAGGATATCCAGTCTGACTCAACAACAGGTACATCCAAACTATTGCACGCAATGGTAGTTGCTAAAGTTTATGTTCAGTGATCTTGAAGTGCAGTGATTTATTTAACTTTCACATATCTTCATGTATATATATATAATTTGTGTGGAGTCCTGATGAATTACTAGACTGGAAGTTCTCAGTTCCTGATATTTTGTGTGAACATCTATTGATATTTTCGCAGAAACTGACGTAAATTTCCAAGTTAAGGTTTTATAGTTGTTCTTGTGTATTTGCCCATGTCAGTGCTTCAACACTACCGACATGATTACTGCAGACTGTACACTAACTGTAGCAGTGACTAACTGAGATGACAGGTCATTCAAACAACTGTATAATGTAACCAACTTTAACCACCTGGTAACTAACTCTTGCACTCACATCAGTCAAACCTGTAAATGTCAGGAAGATTTTTCATAATTATGACGTAAACATTCCCTCTGGATTATGGTAGCCTTATTCTTGTTGATTCACAGAATACATACAGAAAATCAAAAGAAATTTTAACACCAAGTCATAGCTATTCTTAGTGGTATACCTAATCTACCCCTGAGTTATTTCCCTTGATCCTGACGTCACTGTATTGTTCTCCTAGAACCCTTCATAATTTTTCTGTATGGTCCACACGCATGACGTGCAGAGTGAAGAGAATCGAGTGAAATTTTCATTTCAAATCAAGTCTTCAATTCTTCATATATAGGTCAGTTACAAATCGCATTCCATTTAATATTCAATCGCATTGGTGTTTTGCATTTATATTATATATATTTCCAACGTATTAAGGATCTGAAGTTTTCCCGCCCTTTTTGATTGACAAGTATGGCGCAGAGCAAATGTTTACAATGTCAGAAATTCATGGCTGATGTTGATCCCCACTCTCTGTGTGCTTCCTGTTGCTCAATATCGGATTGATGCTTATTGTGTCAGGAAATGTCGGAAGAAGATTGGTTGTTGATGGACAAATCTCGTTCCTTAGTTAGGAAGCGTAAACATTCATCGTCATCAGAATGCTCTAAGTCGAAGAAAGTTCAGGGATCTCCGCCTTTATCAATAAAATCTGAACCGAAGTCTCGTTCTAGGTCGTCTAAATAAAAAACCTCTCCCCAGTTCGATATAGCTGCGTTCTCAGAACTTTTGACGGGATTTAAATCCGATATCCAGGCGGCCATGGATAAATCTGTACGGGATATGGAGATGAGGAATGACGAAAAATTTGATCGCCTGTCAAAACATTTGGAAGATCCTGTATTACCCGGCAAGACGGCATACAGCTGTAGGGGTTTGGTGGTCTCTGGCAAGAGCCGGGAGCCAAAGTCCCTTCCTACGGAAACCAGGGGTGCTATGACTGGAAAAAGTGGTTATCACGCCCTGGCGTACGTAGGAGGCCGGTCCCCTCAGGGGGAGAAGCCTAGGGCTTCAAGCGACGGGGATGGAGTCAGCCCAGCCGGCTCCGGATCCGGGGTGACCGTGGCTCAGGCCACAAACCCCGCGTCCTTTGTCCCCAGGCGCCAGTCATCCGTGGCTGCTGCCTGTCGCATACAGCCTGCTACCTTCTCCCACGGGGAGACCGGGCGGCTAGGGTTTCACGGGTCTGACTCGGCTCAGACGGCACGTGATTTCCGCCCAGGCTCAAGCCAGGCCACTGGGATGGCTGCTATGGATAACGGTGTATCAACCCAGCAGTCTGATTTGCACGGGCCTAGTGGTTCAGAGGACACGGCTACGGACCCGCAAGGTTATTTTGACACAGACAATCTGCCCTTAATTCCGTTAGTGTCTGATGTGACGGATCAGGAAGATTTATCAGTGTATCCTTTTTCACAACCGGAGTCTTCCATGAAAAAAGGCTTGTTGACGGTACAACCTATGGACATGTCAGCACAGGATTTTAAGCCGGGCTGGTCATATAAAGAAAAGCTGGAAATTTTGCACGGACTGTATCCTAATACTCTACCACCACCACCGTCGGACGAACAGGAGATAGATATTCCTGTGGAACTCGGATTATCAGGTTGCCTTCCCCCGGAACGGATGCCCAGGCTGTCATTACCACATTCATCATCACTTAAGAAAGTGTTCGAGAATTACAACTTAGGCCTTTCTAAGGCAACGATAAGGTGGCAATAGCGCATTCCTTTCTGGATGTAGTGTATCAGTCCTTAGCCGCTGCGATGGCGACTCAAGTGAATATATTGGGACAACTTACAGCTATTGACCGGATGTTTCAAGGGGTTTTCTATTGCACCAGCCCTTGGAATTGGATAACACCTTTAATGGACAATGTCAACAGGCTATTGAAGCTAGAGATGCCTTGACGTCAAGGAATTTGAATCAACGTTTGGCGTCGGCTCTTTTATTCCAAAATAGAGGAAGGGCTGACACTAGATCTAGAAGAGGTTCCAGTGTTACGTCTCGTTCTGCTCCATCTTCATCAAGTTGTAGTCAGAACTTTCAGAGATCTGCCTTTGATAGGGCTTCGGATTCAAGAGCGCGTTCTACAAATGTGGCTGTTACTAGAGGCTCATCATCATCTAGGGGTAGAGGTAGGGGAGGTAGATCTTTTCGTGGATCAAGATCAACTTCCAAGAAATATTGACTCAAGTCTCACTGTTCAGCTTTCTCTTCCTTACGAATTGGAAACGTCCCTCGAAATGATATTGGATTTGGAATTTGTATGTCCGGTGACACAATCTCCAGTAGGGGGCAGATTGGCCCAATACTTAGACAATTGGAAAATAATAACATCAGATGTGTGGGTCCTGTCTGTAGTGAGCAGGGGGTTTATTCTTCCTTGGCACAAGCAACCTCCAGTGACTTGTTTTCCAGAGGGTCGTCGGTTTTGTCTTCAAGGCCAGCGTTTAGCGGGGGCAAACTTAGCAATAAATAAGCTACTGGAGAAACGGGCAATCATAGAACTTTCTCCAGGGGATCAGACATGCGGGTTTTATTCACCGGTATTCCTAGTCCCCAAGAAACATTCGGACGAAATGCGCATGATAATAGACTTGAAAGTGTTGAACAAGCTATTTTTGAGGAAACCGTCAAAGTTCAGGATGGAATCAATTGCAAACCTACGCACCTTGATTCATCAGGATTCCAAGTTTATAAGTATAGATCTAAAGGATGTGTATCTTTATATCCCTATTCATCCAAGATCTCGCAAATACCTAAGATTTGCGGTGAACGGTCCCAGGTTTCAGTTCAGGGTGCTGCCGTTCAGGATATCTCTAACGCCGTGGTTGTTCACGAAAATAATCTCCCCCGATTCTGGCTTTTCTTCATCAATGAAGGATTGCGATACACGTCTATCTGAATGATTTCTTGGCAAGGAATGTGGTGACAGCGGTTCTCATGAAGCAAACCAACTTTATAATCCACATGTTTACACATCTGGGTCTAATAGTTCATCCTACCAAGTCAGAACTGGTCCCTTCTACGAGAATCAATGTTCTGGGAGCAATCTTGGACTCAAGAGCAGGACGTATTTATACTCCTCAGGATCGTTGGGTGGAAATATCAACCAAGATAACCAATATGTTACAGACGCCAACTGCATCAGTTCGTTCATGGATGTCCCTTCTAGGATCACTCACTTCAATCCAGGATTATACTGTAAGAGGAAGACTAAGGTTGAGAATCCTGCAGATCTGGCTCAACCAGTCTCGGATGGAGGACTTGGAACTGCTCATAGCCTGTCCAGCCGAGTCCGAAGGGAGATATTATGGTGGACGGTGGACTTGAATGTGTTGCGAGGAGTTTCATTACGTCCTCGTTTACCGGATCTGACAGTTTGTGCGGATGCCTCGAACCATGTTGGGGTGCACACATTGACATTTGGCAAATTCAAGGTGTGTGGAATCTGTCAGAGGTGAATCAGCATATAAACTGTCGGGAGATGTTAGCACTGTTGAAAGCGATTCGTTGCTTGGGGAATCACTTGTACGGGAAGGATCTCATGTTAGTGTCGGACAATTCTACGGTAGTGGCATACATCAACAAACAGGGAAGTACCAAATCTCAACAGCTCCTCGGGGTCACTCAGGATCTGTATCAAGCAGTGGACGCTATAAATTGTTTAATCAGAGCGCGCCACATTCCAGGTTGGAAGAATATCCTAGCGGACTCATTATCTCGACAGGACAGAGTGATCTCGACCAAAACGACTCTCAAGGAAGAGGCATTCGATTTGATAGGACAGAAGTGGGAAATTCCAGACATAGATTTATTTGCGACTTCCAGGAATTTTCGGATACCAACGTTTGTGAGTCCAGTACCGGATCCATTGGCATGGGCAGTCGACACCCTATCCATATCATGGGAGGGGATGATAGCCTATGCGTTTCCTCCGTTCAAACTAATCCCAGAGGTTCTGTTAAAAATTCAACAACACGACTGTCTAGTTTATGTAGTGGCACCAGCGTGGCCTGCCAGACCTTGGGTTTCCCACTCTACTACAACTATTGGTGGACAAACCTCTGTGTCTTCCGTTGTGGCACAATCTAATCAGTCAACCCAAGTTCAACAGAGTTCACAAGAATGTCAGGCAACTTGCCCTACACGTATGGAAGCTATCTCAAGGGCACTCAGGAATCAGGGATTTACGGTTGAAGCTACCAGAGCTATTTCGCTAAGTGGCGACGATTCATCCAGTGGAGACGAGAGTGTGGAATCTTGGATGTACCTGTCACCATTCCAGTGATAGCGGATTTTATCTTGTTCCTAAGAGAACAGAAGCATTTGAAGCATAATACTATTGAGGGATATCGATCAGCTATTGCTTCAGTAATGGATGTTCAAGGTTTATCTGTGGGCTCGGATACATCGCTTCATAAAATGATAAGATCTTTTCAGATTAAGGATATATCGTCTCCAACGATATTTCCTATGTGGGATTTAACGTTAGTACTTCAATCTCTTCAAAAATCTCCTTATGAGCCTCTGCAGGATGCTTCTCTAAAGTATCTGGCATTTAAGACGGCTTTTCTTTTGGCATTTGCAACAGCTTCCAGAGTGTCGGAATTACATGCTATTGACTTTAAATCCATCACTTTTTCGGAAGGATATAAACAGATAACTTTTAGAACTGTGCCGGAGTTCATTGCCAAGAATCAAACTTCAGCTTGTGGTCCTTTGGGACATAGGATATGTCGTATACCTCAGCTTCCTACCTCTACCTCTACATCGGATAGGACTAGACTTTTGTGTCCCATACCTGCACTGGTACATTCAGCGTACTTCTACGTTTAGATGAAATCGTCACAGACTGTTTGTTTCATGTAAAACAAATGTAGACTCGGAGATATCCAAGAATACCATATCTTCATGGCTCAGAAAGACTATATCTTTTGCTTATAGGGATCAGAATCAAGACTTAATTGATCTTAAATTCTCCCCCCATGAAATTAGAGCCCTAGGTTCATCCTTAGCGGCTTGGTCGTCAGTTCCGTTAGAACAAGTTGTGTCTAGTTGTCAATGGAAATCTCCTAATACCTTTATCCAATTTTACCTCAGGGATGCTGCTCCATCTATTGAAGGTTTACATTCATTAGGACCTTTAGTAGCGGCTCAGCACCTTGCCTCCCCCTGACTGCCCCTTGGAGGGGATGGGGGTGGGGGTGTGTGTTGACCTGGCATCTACATCTTCAGGAAGGATGACGCAGTGAGAGATGGTGCCTGGGACTGTCTGAGGGTCCACTCAGAAGGATGATGGATGGATACTTGTCAAGGGACAGCATGTAGCAAGACAAGTTGACATGGTATGAGAATTTACATTTAGATATATCACCTAACAGAGCACAATATGGACGGAGTTCTAACTTCTGAGCTATGGCTGATGGCTTTACATTAGAATATGATTATGAGCTCAAGGTGGTTACCTAAGGTTGAGTTGAACACAATTATAGTCTAATGATAGTTAACCAGAAGTGACGTCATAGAACCGGAAGTGACGTCACCCAACTAATTAGTATTACATCATAAAGATTGTCTCTAGGAACCGGAAGTGATGTCATTAGACCGGAAGTGAGGTCATCAAACAGGAAGTGGCATCATAATTACCGGAAGTGACGTCATTAGACTGGAAGTGAGGTCATCAAACTTGAAGTGACGTCATAATTACCGGAAGTGACGTCATAAGTTTAAGGAATATTAGGTTTAATGACACAATTCGGGATTCGAATAGAATCATGATATGTTCATAGGAATCTAGCATAATCCGGATTTAATAAGGATTAGGATAATCATGATATCTATCATATCAACCATAACTATAGGAAGTTAGAAGACTCTCCATCTCTGGGAATGTATTCCCTCTCTGCTACTGACCAAACTGGAGATAAATTATTTATCTCTGACTAAGTCATAGTTATTCTTAGGAGGTTGAGTAATCAACTCTCAGTTAGTGGTATAGAGGGTAGTATCTTCCAAGGGTAACCCTCCTTCCTTACTTGGGATTCAGGCTACCATAATCCAGAGGGAATGTTTACGTTATAATTAGGAACAATTACATGTATTGTTAGTAATTGTTAGTAAACTTCTGGATTATTGGGAGTAGTTCCCACCCTGTGTCCTCCCCATGAATTTATCCTTAGAAGATGTCATTGATGTGTTGTTGTTTTTGGAAAAAATTATGAAGGGTTCTAGGAGAACAATACAGTGACGTCAGGATCAAGGGAGATAACTCAGGGGTAGATTAGGTATACCACTAGGAATAGCTATGACTTAGTGTTAAAATTTCTTTTGATTTTCTGTATGTATTCTGTGAATCCACAGGAATAAGGCTACCATAATCCAAAAGGTAAGTTTACTAACAATTACCAACAATACATGTAATTGTTCCTAATTAGACACTTTAATCTTGAAGTCAGTGTTTTAGAATACATTTGAAAAGGTAAGATTGTTTGCATACTGGTGAGGGAAAATCCTTACAACATCAGAGAGAGCTCAAGTGCCCTGGTCATCTAAGGGATTCCTTGCACATGCCAGATACCAATGAAAATGGGTTTGCCCTGATTGTGTTTCTAGATTCATCAGCAACATTCCTTATCTCATGGGAAGTTGGTACACTTGGTACACTCACCACAGTTTCACTGACCAGTTCCTTCAGTGTAAATCTTCATACAGTGAGTGTCAAACATTGTATGAATGTTGTCACAAGCTATGTGCAATTTGAAATAATATTTCATCTGTACTTTCTCGATACACAAGCTGTTGAGTCCATGGAGGTCCTGACAGATTGGTCATATGACCAGACTGGACCATCTCCCAGAGGCAAGGGAGTTTAATGACTAAGTCCAGTTTTCTTGCCGATCTGGAACTGGCTAGATAGTAGCACCACCAGTCCCTTCTATATCCCTCAAAATGGTCATGCTGATTCCACCTCGGGCATCAGTTTGTATATGCTTAAACAAAATGGAGGCAGCAGTATAAATATGTTTTTCTGTTTAGAAGTCTATAGTGGACTCACTTGAGAGATATCATGGTGTGGAGCGGCAAGTCTTCCTGTCCATGCTGCACACAAAAGTAGAGACTGAGCAACAGATGACAGCCTCCCTCAGTACTCAACAACAGCAGGCTGACCTCCTGGCCTCACTGAGAACAAAGTTCTCCTCTCTCAGTAAAGGTAACACACCATGATAACACTATGATCACATGTGTACTGTACCTAGTATATAGTTTAACCAGTCATTAGTTCTCCCATCATTGTCAAGTTCAATAAGGGTTTAGTTCTCCCATTATGGATACTACATGATCCCATGACAGTTTTAGTTTGCAATCATTAAGATAGATTTGCTTTACATATGTACAGTGACCACAATGTATTGAACATGTTATTGCTTTAGATGACGTTCCTGGCCATCTGAGAATCCTGCAACAAGCCACAGTGACCAAACTGGAATGTCGCCGAGCACAGCTACCAAAGGACAGTCAGACTGATGACAGTGCCTCAATCTCCCTCATGGCCGATCTCCTCCTGCAGCAGAACAAGGATGCAGAGTCATATCTCATGACAATGGGATCTTTGGTACAGACAATGCACTCATATAGTACACTTTAGAGCCACAACTGTTGTGAGCGACATTTTACATTGCTTCAAGTGTATGTCAAAGGCAGCAGCATATCAAGTTCATCCTCTTTAATGAGCAAATATTTCCAGAGTTTTGTATATTTATTTCTTTTTTAAACCTCAAAATTATTATTTTTGCCCAAATTTTAATTTAGTGTGAGTCAGCTTAGTTGTACTTACTGATCATATCTGTCATTAGAGCCCTGATGAACACCTGCAGATGCTCACAGAGATGAAGGGTTTGGAGGATGGAGGAAGATGTGCCAACATTGCAGCTGTGGTGTTTGCTTTAGACACAGACCATCAACTCACTGACCAGGATGTGATCCAGGCTGTGGAGGAAAAATATGATGCCTTAAATGATAAACTACTGATGGAAGCGCTGATTAGTGAGGTGAGTGACTATGAGATTGTGTCTTCAGATGGAAGCACTGATGAGTGAGGTGAGTGACTGTCTGAGGTTGTGTCTTCAGATGGAAGCACTGATGAGTGAGGTTAGTGACATATGAGATTGTGTCTGTAGGTGGAAGCACTGATCAGTGAGGTGAGTGACTGTCTGAGGTTGTGTCTGTAGATGGAAGCACTGATGAGTGAGGTGAGTGACTGTATTTGGTTGTGTCTGTAGATGGAAGCACTGATCAGTGAGGTGAGTGACTGTATGAGGTTGTGTCTGTAGATGGAAGCACTGATCAGTGAGGTGAGTGACTGTATGAGGCTGTGTCTGTAGATGGAAGCACTGATGAGTGAGGTGAGTGACTGTATGAGGTTGTGTCTGTAGATGGAAGCACTGATGAGTGAGGTGAGTGACTGTATGAGATGGTGTCTGTAGATGGAAGCACTGATGAGTGAGGTGAGTGACTGTATGAGGTTGTGTCTGTAGATGGAAGCACTGATCAGTGAGGTGAGTGACTGTATGAGATGGTGTCTGTAAATGGAAGCACTGATGAGTGAGGTGAGTGACTGTATGAGGTTGTGTCTTCAGATGGAAGCACTGATCAATGAGGTGAGTGACTGTATGAGGTTGTGTCTTCAGATGGAAGCACTGATGAGTGAGGTGAGTGACTGTATGAGGTTGTGTCTTCAGATGGAAACACTGATGAGTGAGGTGAGTGACTGTATGAGGTTGTGTCTTCAGATGGAAGCACTGATGAGTGAGGTGAGTGAATGTATGAGGTTGTGTCTTCAGATGGAAGCACTGATGAGTGAGGTTAGTGACATATGAGATTGTGTCTGTAGATGGAAGCACTGATCAGTGAGGTGAGTGACTGTCTGAGGTTGTGTCTGTAGATGGAAGCACTGATCAGTGAGGTGAGTGACTGTATTTGGTTGTGTCTGTAGATGGAAGCACTGATCAGTGAGGTGAGTGACTGTATGAGGTTGTGTCTGTAGATGGAAGCACTGATCAGTGAGGTGAGTGACTGTATGAGGCTGTGTCTGTAGATGGAAGCACTGATGAGTGAGTGAGGTGAGTGACTGTATGAGGTTGTGTCTGTAGATGGAAGCACTGATGAGTGAGATGAGTGACTGTATGAGATGGTGTCTGTAGATGGAAGCACTGATGAGTGAGGTGAGTGACTGTATGAGGTTGTGTCTGTAGATGGAAGCACTGATGAGTGAGGTGAGTGACTGTATGAGATGGTGTCTGTAGATGGAAGCACTGATGAGTGAGGTGAGTGACTGTATGAGGTTGTGTCTTCAGATGGAAGCACTGATCAATGAGGTGAGTGACTGTATGAGGTTGTGTCTTCAGATGGAAGCACTGATGAGTGAGGTGAGTGACTGTATGAGGTTGTGTCTTCAGATGGAAACACTGATGAGTGAGGTGAGTGACTGTATGAGGTTGTGTCTTCAGATGGAAGCACTGATGAGTGAGATGAGTGAATGTATGAGGTTGTGTCTGTAGATGGAAGCACTGATCAGTGAGGTGCGTGACTGTATGAGGTTATGTCTGTAGATTGAAGCACTGATGAGTGAGGTGAGTGACTATATGAGGTTGTGTCTGTAGATGGAAGCACTGATGAGTGAGGTGAGTGACTGTATGAGGTTGTGTCTGTAGATGGAAGCACTGATGAGTGAGGTGAGTGACTGTATGAGGTTGTGTCTTCAGATGGAAGCACTGATGAGTGAGATGAGTGACTGTATGAGGTTGTGTCTGTAGATGGAAGCACTGATCAGTGAGGTGAGTGACTGTATGAGATGGTGTCTACGGGTGAACCCCTTATCGGTGGTTAGAGTGATGGTATGAGATTGTGTCTACAGGTGAACCACTTATTGGTGGTTAGAGTGACGGTATGAGATTGTGTCTACAGGTGAAGCACTTATCGGTGGGTAGATTGGTGGTATGAGATTGTGTACTCTTGAAAAAGTTAAGTGAGCGCTGTACTAAAATGTTTGAGACTTTCCTCACAGCATGCTGATACATCCTATATGAGTGGAATAGTGTTTGAAGTGGTGTGAAACCCAACTCTCTCAAAGAACATTCTTTTTCAGAAGAAGTCCTCCTTGGGGTACATATAAGCATTAAAATGTCCATTTTAAAAACCTACGACAGTTGTAACAATATTTCAATAAAATATTTTACCAAACAAAAAACTCATTATGTTTAGTGAGACCAACCCTATAGGGCCCCTCACAAGGCCCCCTACAGCCAAGAGCAGGTAAGATTGGCTGCGTACCTCGTACCTCACTTTTCATGCTGTCGTTGACCTATTCGGTTGTGCATGGTCCACAGAAGACACGTCTTCGCCTGGTACTACGATAGAGAAAATGAGTGAAAAGAGTCAAATCCTGTATGTATGGTTCCTTCTTTTTCGCTCAGGCGCTAGCTGGAATCTTCGTATGACTTTTTTCATTCATGATTTGTTGTAACTTTGCCGGCGTGTTCGCTGTCTCCAGCCATATGGCAGGCAAGATGGCGGACCGCGGGGGTCCTTTTGCTATCCCTTCTGCTATCCCTTCTGCTGGCTTCCATAGCCTTGTAGTCGGGTTGTAAGGGTGCTGATATTTCATTATGTAGATTATGCTTGCCTAAATTCCTCTTTTTCAACGGGTTTTTGGTAAGTTTTGTTTGAGGGATTTTGTGGCGTGTTCGTGTACGTATCGCTCACATATGTTGCTCTTTGTTAGCTATGTACACAATTACGCTTCGCTATTGTGGCTTTATGCTAGTATTTAATAGCTTTGCTGTAGCAGTTAAATATCCCCTGTGCGTTATATTTTTTCTGTTTATATTGTGTGCATATTACATTATGTCAAACAGTCCTTGCTATTAGTCATAGCGCGGTTCTGTTTCTTGCAGCCCAAGTGCTGTGTTACCTGTAGCGCTACATTATCGTCTCAGGATCCACACCTTATATGTTTGCGTTGTTTGGCGGAGGAAGCCCATGATGAACAAGGCTGTACTATGTGTCAGGCTTTTTCCCCACGTACTAGCAAGTCCAGACGTGTGGATATGATGTTTTACACGTCTTTACTTCAGGTGGGGGCGGACATTTGGGGACAGGAGCCTCCTAAGGATAAGGATAAAAAGCCTAAGAAAAAGAAGGCTTCTGCTTCGTCTGTATCAGGGGATACAGCTCCTAAACGGGCGAAGGGTGCGGGGTCTTCGGTCCCTTCACCATCCATCCCTTCCACATCTTGGGCACCTTCACCTCCTCATGTCCCAGTTTCTAACACGCTAACCTTTGAATTAATCTCCGATTTATTACAGCAGCAAATGGTTTCGGTTCACTCTCTTGTATCTGACGCGATGGCCGGTCTCCGTCAGGAGATTGGCGTCCGGCCAGGTACTGGGGGGTGTTCCGGTTCTATGGTGGGCAGTGTCCCCAACCTTAGCTTAGGCTCTGGTGTGGGGATTTCTGTCGGGGGTGCGTCGGCGCTGAGCCTCGTCTCGGTTGCCGGACACCCCTCCGCTGTAGTGACTACCACCAGTCCAAGGCTTGGCTCTTGGTCTGGTTTGGTAGTTGGTACCGGTTTTATAGGCTCGGTCCCTGTAGTCTCCGCTACCTCCTCGCATTTGGTCCCACCGCTTGCACCGGCTTTGCCGGGCCATTCGGTGTCGGGACCATTATGCTTGCCGTTGGGGAATCCCGTGTCGGGCTCTTCCTCGTCACGCCACCGCGACTCAGTTTCGAGTCTTGGGTCGGGCGTGCCGGGCAACTCGGCTCTGCTCGAGCCTCTGTCCCTCCCTGTAGACCCCTCGGATGATCCCTCGGAGCTCTCTCTGGTTACAGAGACCTCGCTCCTGGAGGATTGGTTCCAGGAGGCTATGGAGGAGGATGAGGGTCGGGGAGGGTTGGGTACACCTTTGGTTTCACTCGGCGCGTCCCTGAGACAGGTACGGGAGCGTATTGCCCCGGTCCTGCCTCAGGTGGTTGTCAGTGCTGGCGCACCCGACCCTCAGGAGTTTCGCCTCCCAGGGGAGGCTTTTGCTCCTACCAAGGTGGCGGACACTCGGCTTCGTATTTTACCTTCAGTTTTAACTGAGGTTATAAACCCCTTCCTTTGTGGTACCAGATCCAGATTCGATTTACCCGAACTGGACCGTCGGTACCTCATGGGTGAGGCTGGCCTATATAATCCCCCAGTGGTAGACGATTGTGTCTATGCGTCATTTGCCCTAGGTGGTTCGTCTGGTAACTCACTGGCTTCAGCCAAGCGCTTCCGCCATTCACAGCCAATGCCACGGCACTTAAGTCCGCCTATCGTTCATTTGAGGAGCAGTACCGGAACGCGGTTCAGTGCCTCAAAGTTACTATACATTCCGCCTACATCTCGGTGTTGCAGAGGCAACTACTGGATGTGGGTGGGGTCGAGGAAGATTTGTCTCCCTCCACCTTGGCAAAACAATTGACGGAGGTCCAATCACATCTGGCGCATGACTCTATCAGGTCGTCGGCCTGCCAAATGATGTCGGCGGTTATGGGCCTCCATCGCCTGTGACTTTCTATGGCGAGGTACTCTCCTGCCACGCAACAGGCTCTACTGGCGCTGCCGTTCCAGATGGGTTCTACTCTGTTCCCCGGGGCAGCTACAGTAGTCCGGGAGACCGCAGAGGCTGTATCAACCTTCAAGGACTCTAAGCCTTTGTTGGAACAGCCTCACATGTCTCGCGCGCAACCCCCGGTACTTACCTCCGCATATCCTTCTGCCTCGGCGAAGGAATCTGTTAAATGGGCTCAGCCATTGCAGTCACGGAGGGGTAAGGGCAGAGGCAGGGGCAAGGGCAAGGCCACAGCGCCCCACCAGCTTTTTCAGAGGAAGGGGAAGTCATCCCCGGCTTCCCAGCAATAATTCCTCCGGAGCCCTTGTTGGTACCAGATCAAGCAGTCGGAGTACTGCCGACGTAGGGTATCCATTGTCTCATGCTCTAGCTCGATTGTGGGTCCACACCTGGGGTTACGAGTTGATTCTCCACACTCCATGGTGGCTATTTCCTCATTTACGGTGGTGGACACTGGCAGGGAATTTATCCAGGGGGTTCCCCTTGGACATCCTGTCGCCAGATCTCTCGATTCAGACAGACGCCTCCCTCACAGGGTGTGTGTGTGTGCTGGGCAACCTGTCGGTCTCAGGCCTGTGGTCACAGAGCGAGGCGCAACTGCACATCAATGTGCTAGAATTGAGAGCAGTCAGGTTAGTGTTCGAACGACATCGGGAGCAGGTTCGAGGCCGTGTGGTTCATCTAGAGATGGACAGCCAGACGGCGATGACCTATATCCTGAAGCAGGGCGGTACGGTTTCCCCATCTCTCCTGCAGGAGGCGTGGCAGTTTCTGCTCTGGTGCGACCGGTTCGACATACGGGTGATGCCTGTTTATCTCCTGGGGCGGACAACGTTCGAGCAGATGCGCTCTCTCGTCGGATCCTGTCCTGCACGAGTGGATGCTCAATCGGGAGATATTTGGGGCTATCTCCCAGTTGTTCGGATCGTTCCAGGTGGATCTGTTTGCTTCTGGGGGGACAAACCAGATTCCGGTGTTTTGCTCTCGGATAACGGATCCGAGAGCCATCGCCCTGGACACTTTCCAGCTCGGTTCTGTGGGCGTTCCCGCCACTACCCCTGATTCCCAAAGTCCTCTCGCAGCTTGCCACCCAACCAGCTCGACTTCTTGTGCTCCTTGCGCCTCTTTGGTCGGCTCAAAGCTGGTTTCCGGTACTACTCAGGTTTCTGGCTCAGCCTCCTGTACTATTACACCCAAATCCCAGGATTCAGTGGGTGGCCTGGCCTCTGTCCGGAATCGCCTCCAAGCGAGCGGAATTCCTGCACCAGTTGCAGACACAATTCTGGCTTCGCGAAGGGATTCGACAAACGTTCAATATGAGGATACATGGGCCTGTTATACGCGCTGGTGTGTCGGCAGAGGGATTCTTGATCCCTTTTCTTCAACAGTAGTTGAAGTTCTGGAGTTCTGGTTAGAAGCCGGCTTAGCCGCGTCTACTATCCGGGGCTACTCCACGGCAATATCTGCCTTCCATATACCTGCCGACGGTGCTCTCTTGGGGCAGCACCCTCTGGTGCAGTGCTTTTTAGCAGGCGTGGACAGAATCCGTCCGACTGTCCGGCAGATTAGTCCCCCGTGAGACTTGTCAATCGTCCTTGATTGGATGTCCGGTCTTCTCTTTCACGATCTGCCGTCTCTTTCACTCCAGCTGTTAAGTTGGAAGGCTGCCTTTCTTGTGGCGGTAACGTCTGGCCGGCGGGTAGGCGATATCCATGCGATGTCAGCGGATCCTGCTCTGACTGTCTTTCACAAAGACAGAGTCAGTATTCGGTTGCCAGACGGTTGCTTTCATGTAACGGTTGCTTTCATGTAATGGCGCCTATTGAACTGCCAGCTTTCACTCAGCCTCCATCGTCCAGTACCTCTCTTCGACGTGCTCACGTCTTAGATGTCCGTAAGACTCTCAAGGCTTATATCAAACGAACGGCTGCTCTCAGGAAAGATAAGCAGCTGTTCTGTTGTTATGGCGGTGGTAAGGCTGGTCTTTCGGGAACAAGCAGACCATATCTAGGTGGCTTGTCTCTGCCATTTGTATGAGTTACTCTCTCAAAGGGTTAACTATCCCTCAGGGGTTAAAGGCTCATTCGATTAGGGCAGTGGCGACATCTAAGGCATCACCCAGTGGGCAGTGTCGTGGGCAGTGTGCAGTGTCGTGATTCTCTAGCCGAATGAGCCTTAGAAATCACGATTGGTTTTATCCTGGTGTCGGTCTTATAAAATTCCAAAATTTTTATCGGTGGCGGTATCACATTGGTGGTGGTTTTTACCGTTTTTTATTGGCTATAGCGATTATCACACGCTATATTCACTGTTTTCATCCCTGCACCACGCTTCGCTGGTTTGGGTTTATGAATGGTATATTTTGGATTCGTCCATACATTCCTTCCCATTTTGATGGTTGGGGGTGGGACTTACGTCCGTCATTACAAATTCCGCCACTAGTCTATCGGCTAGGCTCCTTTTTTCCCCTCCTTGCCACGCCGGCGGTCAGGTGACTCGGTTAGCGTATTTTCTCTCTCTGTCGCGGCTTCGACTGTGCCTTCTACTGAACTAGGGAGTGTGTTAGGCAGACAGAATACCGCTCCCGACTCGACATCGTTGGGAGTCTGTCTTATGCTTATATGTACCCCAAGGAGGACTTCTTCTGAAAAAGAATTATACAAACCTGTAGAGGTTATGTATTCTTTGAAGAAAAGTCCTCCTTGGGGTACGACCGCCCACCTCACCTCATTCTGTCTGACACGTTCAGCATGAAAAGTGAGGTACGAGGTACGCAGCCAGAGTTACCTGCTCTTGGCTGTAGGGGGCCCTGTGAGGGGCCCTATGGGGGTGGTCTCACTAAACATAACAAGTTTTTTGTTTGGTAAAATATGTTATTGAAATATTGTTACAACTGTCGTAGGTTTTTAAAATGGACATTTTAATGCTTATATGTACCCCAAGGAGGACTTTTCTTCAAAGAATTCATAACCTCTACAGGTTTGTGTAAATTTTCTCTATGAGGAAGTCCACTTTTTGTTTATCATCAATTGATCTACCTCAGACCAGCCAAAATAAACACAGATTCAATAAACTCTGTGTCACAGATGGGAGAAGCTGACTGGCTGAGACTGAGTGAGAAGGAGAGACAACGGAAACTGATGGAACTGAAGCTGAAACAACGACAGTTGAAGAAACGGGGGCTTTTGGATGAAGCTGCAGCTCTACTTGGTCAGTGTAGAATTATATCTCAAAACACAATTGGATCGTTTAAAGTAATTTTACATTTGCATCTGACCCAGATCGCCGCCATATACCTAGAATATAGCTGAGTGTGGCGTAAAACTAAACTCACTCACTCACTCTTGTAGGGGATATTCCTTATTGAGGAACATATTGGAGGAAGTGGTATGGCGCAGTCTGACAAGTTACCTCAGCGGGAAAGTTACCACAGGCGAAATATTGTCTCTGCAAACAGTTACATAAATCCTTGCTGTCACTTCCTCTTATTCTACCCTAACCCCCTGGGTGCCACAGGGGCATGTATGTCCTTCCTCTTCAACACTCACTTTGAAGTGCAATAAAATTCTAAATATATCATGCACACAAATATACTTCATAGTATTGAATTCTGCAGGAAATTCCCTGTTTCTTGATACCATCCACTATTATCTCAGAGAAGTTAAAGTTCTGTAAAAGACGTTTCAAAATAAGCTTAATCGTAAATGTCGCCATTTTTGACACAATACGAAATCGCGATTCACAGCGTTATTTGCTGTATGTTTTGCAATGTGAAATTCGGAAAATGACTGGGAGTATTGAATTTCAAAAGTAGCATATTAATGATCACTGATATCTATTATTTTTCCTTATCCTGACTCATGCTCTTTTGCTTGTCTCCTTCTTCTTGCGCATGAGAGTGGAACACTTGAATCCCCTTTTTGAAGCTCCCTTAAAAAACGCGGACGTAAAATCACTCACCCCACGAGTAGCCTCCCTTTGCTCTTTGGCGCCCTTATTGGTCACCTGACCAGCCATGCTTGTCACTCTCTCCTTCTTCGCCCTAGAGGACGGTTGTGAGAGCGCCTGGGTCCCTATACGGCACTATATCCTTTTAATTTTAGGCCTTTACCACTAATTGTAGCTGTATACGGCATTTAGGGAGATATACCAGCAATATGGTTTGGAATTTTTGGCCTGATTTATCTGTTTATTCACGTTGTTGACGTGATATTTCATCTTGTTTACAATTGATGAAAAACTTGCATTCGTTGCAGGTACCAGTTGTGTGCTGCTGATTCTCATCTGTTATGTCCTAATTGCACTTCTACAGGTTCTTCCAGCTTTCGCTGTCAACTTTGTCAGCAATTATCTGAAATTTAATAATTATATATATTCCATTCTTAGACGTGCTAAGGACAGGTCTAGACAGCATTTACAAGTCATGTCTAACCGCTGATAACCTACTGTCTGCTGACGGAGCATGTTGCTGTGGCAGAGGGGAGCTCCGGCTCCAGGAAGAGGTCGTCAACGTCGGAAGTAGCCTCATCGCAGTCTAAGAAGACCAGGGCATCATCTTCAAAGAAAAGAAGTCTTCCCATGGGGCAGCACAGAAGACGAGGTCCTTCTCTGCAGAGATCATCCCTCCAGATGAAGTAGACGTGTATGACGGGCCACTCATCCTCATTCCTGAAGTAGCAGTTAAGAAGAAGACAAGATCCTCTTCTACAGTGATGTCAGCAGTCATCTCAGCGCAGTCAGATGATCTATCAACGCAGACATCAGGTACCAGAGACGGCAGTTCACAAGTGCAGCGGTCCTTGGAAGAAGCCTCATCACTCTCAGATGCGTCGTCATCTGCAGCAGCAGCAGCCGTCGTCGCAGAACTTCAACCCGGGTATCTTCATGCAGCAGTTTACTCAGCAGATGTTGGACCTGATGGAACGACGTTTCACACAGGAGAAGGCTGCGGCGAAGGCCCCATCTACGACGAACCTGCACGAAGGACCAGCAGTCTGCACATCGCATCCTGTTGAAGATGGTAGCCTGCGTGAAGGCTGATACGAAGACCTCATCTATGACGACGACCCTGCACGAAGGACCAGCAGTCTACACATCGCATCCCAACGAAGATGGAGGCCTGCGTGAAGGATGAAGTCTGCTCGAAGGCTGCTACGAAGACCTCATCTATGATGACGAGCCTGCACGAAGGACCTGCAGTCTTCACATCGCATCCCAACGAAGATGGAAGCCTGCGTGAAGGAGGAAGTCTGCGTGAAGGCTGATACGAAGACCTCATCTACGATGACAAGCCTGCACGAAGGACCAGCAGTCTTCACATCGCATCCCAATGAAGATGGAAGCCTGCATGAAGGAGGAAGTCTGCGTGAAGGCTGCTACGACCTCATCTACGATGATGAGCCTGCACGAAGGACCTGCAGTCTTCACATCGCATCCCAACGAAGATGGAAGCCTGCGTGAAGGAGGAAGTCTGCGTGAAGGATGAAGTCTGCATGAAGGCTGCTACGAAGACCTCATTTACGATGGCGATTCTGCACGAAGGACCAGCAGTCTTCACATCGCATCCCAACGAAGATGGAAGCCTACATGAAGGAGGAAGTCTGCGTGAAGGCTGATACGAAGACCTCATCTACGATGACAAGCCTGCACAAAGGACCAGCAGTCTTCACATCGCATCCCAACGAAGATGGAAGCCTGCGTGAAGGAGGAAGCATGCGTGAAGGTTCACACTTGACTGCAACCTCGACAACGATGATGCAGCCCTAGGCATGCCGGAAGGACCTTCCAAGGAGCCTTCGCGCAGGAGCAGGACTAGACGTTCTTCGGAGTATCGCAGAAGTCGGTCACATGGATCATTTTCACCCTCAGACGCGGATCTTCGTCGTGAGCCTGCGTGCAGACACTACTCATCACGGAGAAGAGAATCCACACCTTCAGGCAGAGGGATACGTCTCAAGATTCAAGGGAAGATTCATATTCCAACCGTTCACCTGCACACAGGTCTTCAGGCAGGCAGGGACTCACGTCGTCGTGGATCAGAAGCACTCACGTACAAGATATCTAACGATGATTTGATACGTTCACCTTTCACCTATCGACCTAATAGCTCAAGTACCGGAGAATCTCAGCGCAGCCTTGGTAAGGCTACGAAGTTCCAGAGTCAACATGCCCCGACGTTCAACGCCAGGAAATTCCCACTACTTCATATGGAACCCTTCATGAAGGCTCCAGAGAATGATGAGAACTACAACATTATCAACGACTCCCATTGCAGAACTTACACAACTACTAGACGTACTTGTTTCGGGCTAGACAGATCCAACATCAGCGGACTTTATTCTTGTGAGGAAGGGGACAGCTTGACAGTTATCACTGGCCTAGCATTGGCATTGTCGCAGTCCTCAGCATGACATCGTTTTTCACTGTCATCATAGCGAAGAATCAACTCTACAAGAACCTTTGTGTATTCAACACAATCGGTTATTTTTAGCGCTTCATTGAAACCGATGACTACAGTCTACAAGTAACAGCGTTAAGCAAGTTTGGAACTTCAGCTGATCATCTGTATAAGATGCTGACTGCATTATCTTCAGTGAAGAAGGAAACAATCACAACAGCCAGGGGGACAGGCTACCTACATCGGTATTACGTGGCGAAATCCTTCGCGCATTTTCCACTCAGCCTGCTATACATGTGTTCACTCGTGTAACTCCGGGAGGTTACGGACAAGGCCAAGTGTTGATGAAGAAATCAACGACTGCACAAGATTTTACAAGGATCTTTTTCCTGCAACACCGGTGACGTCACATCGTGGGAATCTGAGATGAATCAAATGCTGCAATTTGATTGGTCCATGAGAGACAACGCCCTGCGCAGAAGTCGGGCATAACTCACGTGCCAGGAAGTCGTCTACAGTTGTAAACAACTTTTCAACGTCCAGTTAGCAGGGTAGAGCCTGATTCGACTGTCTTCACGGGTCATAAGGACCTTCCCTGTCAGCAGATTGAAGATTGTTTATCCGGCGATTTGCAGCAACATAAATTTGACGAATTCTGCTAATATACATAGACTTCACAGCGATGGCAGTTCCAGTACATCTAGAGACGACGAATTATGCATCATCACTGCACTTTGTTGGGATTCTGGGACAAGTCTTTTTGACATGTTATCGGAAGATTGAAGAAATAAACTTAAGTCATGATTCCAGAACCGGACATTGCTCCGCTTCCATTACGGACATGGCAAGGATTCTACTGTCTACTTACCTACAACATAGGATATGAGCAGATTTCTGGGAAGGTGTTCATCTCACCACAGAATCGCATGATATCTCAAGCACTAATCTCTCCGTTACCACTACTAAGTTGGCAGAGCCTACTCAGTCTTCTCATGTCAGCTCAAGACATGACTCGCAGAGGAAGACTACAGCTGCGCCCACTACAAGTCTTCGTGAAAGCCCCTTCGTGCTACCGGACAGTCTGAAACCGTATCTTTTATGGTCGAATGTCTGCGGAGGAACCTATTTATCAGAGCTGGAGTGCAGCACTCATCTCTACGTAGATGCATCTCTTTAAGGATGGGGAGCTCACTTCGATAACGAAGTGGCAGCAGGGAAATGGTTGAGTCAGGAGCAGGGCCTGCACATCAACATGCTCGAGATGAAAGCAGTAATAAACGCCTTACTACACTGGTCCAGCATACTAAGGAACGCACAGCTGATGATTCATATGGACAACTCCACAGTAGAGTTCTACATCAACAAACAAGGATCAACAAGATCAAGAAATCTTCTAGATCTCAGCTTTCATCTGTTCAGCATAATAGACGACCTGAACATCTACATAAAACATGCCACAGAACCAACTGGACTCAGATTCCTGGACCATTCCCTTGAAGTATTCTGTGAAATTTTCTGACCTCAGTTTTGCATGCAGTACTTGCTGAGCAGCTTCTTTTGCATCCTGAGCAATTATGCGTACACTCTGAATGGAGGCTGATGGTTGTTCAGACGCAGCAAACATCTAAGAGGCAACTTTCAGTTTAAAGTATGTACTGTACTGTTGCAGACCGCCTGCAGTTCTTGCATACTCGTCATGCCCCTGTGTGTTAATTGCACTTAATGCTCTTTGAAGAACATCATAGTTCTCCAGAACAGAGTTTTCCAGAGCATGAGCTTTTTGGTCATTCTGAAAGAGATGTTCTCGCTTTGG